GGGTCTCTGAGCAGAGAAGCTCCTAGTCCGGGGGAACACCGAAGAGAAGAAGGCTGACAGAGAGAAGAAGCCTTCCCCTGGAGCTGACTCCCTGAATTTGGACTTTCAGCCTACTTTGACTGTGAGGAAATAAACTTCTCTTCGTTAAAACCATCCACTTGTGGTATTTCTGTTATAGCAGCACTAGATGACTGAGACAGAGATGTATAGTTATTACTCCTATTTTCCAGATGAGGAAACAGATTAACTAATTTACCCAAAGGCCCTAGCCAGTAAGTGCTGGGACTGGGCTTATTGCTGCTACTTCCGTTGCGGTCAAGACGATTCCGACTCATAGAGATCCTATAGGACAGACCAGAACTACCCCATAGGGTTTCCAAGGGGTGGCTAGTGGATTTGAACTGCTGAGCTTTTGGTTTGCAGCCATAGCTCTTAACCACTCTTAGGCTGCACTTTTTAATTACTGTGCCATGTGGCCTGACAGTGCAGGGAAACATATACTTGTAAACCTGAGAGATGAAGTCTTCTCAAGGTGTGGCTATCTTTCATGTGGCAGAGAATTGGCTAATTCACCTTTCCTTTAGCATTGGTTAATTTAGGGCTTGGAGGATCTCTCTTCTCAAATCATTTGAGCTGTGCAAGCTCACTGTTTTGTTTTTTTTTTTTAATTGTGAGCCAGTTCTGAAGCAATAAGAATTCTTTCTCTGTGGCTCTTTAGCATTCTTCCCGCCCCCCCACAAAAAGTAGCCAAATAAATAGGTCACATCAGTTTTTGCCAGTTTTACTGAGGATGGGGTTATATAAGTATTCACTATGATATATATGTATATATTTTAAATTAATGTTTAGGGCAGTGAGTTTGGTTTTTTAATTTCAAAGAAATAAAAATCTAAGTAAATCTTCCACCCCCTTTCTTTCCTTTTATGCCCAACCCCTAAATAGCCCCTTCCGGCTACCAAGAGGTTGAATTCTTCTATACTTCTTTCTCCTTTCCCTGTACCTGGCTTTATTTATTTATTTATTTTAAAGTTGCATATAATCACAAGAAAGCGTATTTTCTGTGGGTTCCATTAAGATATGAAAGGTGAAGGGTTCTTAATTAATGCTTTTCATAAACACCTGGTAATCAGGAGTTTACAATATTTCATCTGGATTCTACCGGCAATATAATAGAAGAATAGTATTTATGTTTAAAAAAAAAAAAAGCCCTTCAAAGCTGTTATCTGATATTTTAAATAGGGGAAAAAAAAAAAAAACCTTAATGTCAATATGACATCATGGTTTTATAAGCCTTGATTGTTTATTTTTTTCTGTCTGTAAAGTAGGTCACCAAGAATAGAGTGTTAAATCACTCCGTTTGTTGTTAGTCTTTCAATAAAATGTTTATGTATTTGTTTTTTGAAACAGCATCAGATATCGTAGTAAGATTCGGAACCGCTGACCGCTCCAATGGTTTCAGTGCGTGTCTTCAGGATCTCTTACTGCTTGTTTCTTTCTGTTTAAAAGCGGGAGGGGGACATTTTGGTGATTTTTTTTTCAATCAAAGACAATCTCTCTTACTCAGTGGTTGGGGTGGGGGGCTGGAGGGGGTGCTGGTGAGGAGCTGGTGTGCAGAGGGCTTTATTTGTTGCCAATGAAATCTTTTCCATTGAAGATGTAATTATTTTCAAAAGTGCTGTATCTTTACATGTCTACACTCAGCTATTTTATGAGCTGTCTGATTTTAAAGGATTCCTTTGGAATGTGGCTTCAATAAAAATGATCCATTAATTCTTATTTAAATGGTCATGGGGTGCGAATGCAACTTCTGGGCACTGGTGGTAGAATTCCAAAAATACTTGTTAATTTGTAGTGGATTTTAAGATTTTGGTCTTACCATCACAGTAGCTATTCTGAATTCTTTGACTCAGTATTGGAGGAAACCAGACATGTACTTTACCATGTTAATTGTCTATTTCTGGGGTGTTCTCGATTTCAGTGGTTAGAATCATATATTTCTAGAATATATGTTGTCTTAGTCATCTAGTGCTGCTCCAACAGAAATACTACAGGTGGATGGTTTTAGCAAAGAGAAGTTTATTTTCTCACAGTCCAGTGGGCTAGAAGTCCAAATTCAGGGTGTCAGCTCCAGGGGAAGGCTTTCTGTCTCTGCCGGCTCTGGAGGAAGGTCCTCGTCATCATCAGTCTTCCCCCGGACTAGGAGCTTCTCTTCACAGGAACCTTGGGTCCAAAGGATGCACTCTGTTCCCGTTGCTTCTTTCTTGGTGGTATGATGTCCCCAATTCTCTGCTTGCTTCCCTTTCCTTTTATCTCTTACAAGAGATAAAAGGTGGTGCAGGCCACACCCCAAGGAAACTCCCTTTACATTGGATTAGGGATGTGACCTGAGTAAGGGTGGTGTTACAATTCCACTCTAATCCTCTTTAACGTAAAATTACAATCACAAAATGGAAGACAACCACACAACCCTGGGAATCATGGCCTAGCCAAATTGATACACACATTTTTGGGGGGACACAGTTCAATCCATGACATTCCACCCTTTGGCCCCCAAAAAATCACATCCTTGCACAATGCAAAACGTATTCATCTCATAATATCATAGCAAAAGTCTTAACTCCAAGTCCAAAATCTAAAAATTCCTCTTTATCTGTGAAATCTAGAATATAAGCTATCTGCTTCCAAAGGTACAATGGCAGTACAGGCACAAGCTAGACATTTCATTACAAATGGGAGAAACTAGAGGAAAAGAAGTGATAACAGGCACCAAGCAAGTCAGCAGAACACATTAAAGGCTTTGAAAATAAAACTGTTCTCTGAGACAGTTTACACAATAGCCCTGCCCTCCAGACTCTAGGTATTGGCCGCAGTCTCTGGATTCTGAGTGGAGGCCCTTTGGCCCTGGGCTTCAGCTTCGCCTTCCAGGCCCACTGGGACAGCAACTCTGCTCCCTCGGCTTTAGGCGCACCATTCTCCTACTCCATCGGAGTGACAACTCCACCCTTAGAAACACCAGAGGCCATGGCTCCACCCTCTGAAACCCCTGAGGTCATGGCCACACCTTTTGAGACTGAGGCAGCTTGGCTCTTGTGTTCCTTGTCTCTTCAGCTTCTGCTTCCTGTGGCCTCTTGGCCCTCAATCCCAAAATAGAGGACAAGCACACAACCCTGGGAATCATGGCCTAGCCAAATTGATACACACATTTTTGGGGGGACACAATTCAATCCGTGACATATGTATATGGCTACTGGTTTCAGATTTTTTATGTCTATTTTCAGTTTATTATAGGAACAAGAAGCACTGTTTTTCTTTTTTAGAAAATCTGAGCTTTTTGTGGATGAATCCCGCCTAAATTTAAATAAATAAAGTTATGAAAATCCAACATGATGATTCATTGGCTCTCTGGTGCCAGTCAAGGTACTGGGCCAGAGAGTAGGCAGCAGTCCTGCTAGGCTTACCTGCGATGGTCCGCTCCATCGGTAATCCTAGATCATTCTCCTCCTTCCCACCTAAGTTACGGAAAATTTCTCCTTCTCAACTGTGAGGAGATCTAAAAACCGTGCTTTAGCTCAAAAGTGAATGTGGGGGTTTCGGTTACTTTTCTTGTAATAGAGATTTTTAAGTAGAAAACTGCTGGATTTTTTTTGCACATAGTTGAAAATATTTCCAAAACAATTCACATACTTACCCAACTTAGTGGAATGAGTCTGGCAGGTCACTGGTCATGGCTTGGTGAATGATGATCTTGAAGTGCCTGAAAATAGTTGTTCTGAGCTGAATGCTCAGAGCATACACTTGTTGCTCTGTGGATAAAGCAAACGTGTAACAGTGAGGTGGCTGAGTAAGCCTACTTTATTTTCTGATGGCTGGTTTTCAAAATAAACCTTTGTAGCACCACAGGGCAATAGTGCTGGAAGGAATGTCGGGGAACACTCACCTGTCTCTTTTTAGAGGACCAAGTGCTGAGCATTGAACAGGAGAAGTGACATGTCATAGATTACTTATCCTGAGTCCTAGGTCTCCCTAATGACCTAGGAAGAGCTGGAATTCAGCTTAGTGGGCTCATATCTGCTATGATCTTTTTCTTCCTCACTCTTAAAAGCAGAAGCCCTTCCCTTGTGGCCTCTTCTCTACTCTACTCCCAGTCTAGTCAGTAGACAATAGGGGTTGGTAGGGTTCTGAGGTTTTCCTACAGTAAACTTTCGATAATGTTATAATGTTGCTTTCCCTTTTCTTTTAGCAATAGGCGAATATGAAGACCTTAGAGCAGAGAACCAGAAAACAAAGGAGAAGGTTTGTACTTTACCCTTTTTTTCATTTCTTATATGTGTAAAAGCCTAGCCGGCACAGTGCATTGTTCTGCCACCAATTTCAATGAAATGTGAATGAGGGTTTTTTTCCCCCCGTTTTCTCTTGCATGTGTGGTTCAAGCTAGTATCAACCCCAGGTTCCAGATGGTAAAGAATAGGAGGCAGACCACAGTGGCACAGCTCTGAGAGATTAACCACATGGCTAAATGCACAAGGCACCAGGCCAAGCAACTCAAGTCCCCAAGAATTGTACTTTTTTCCTCACAGTCAGATTTGGTATTCTGGTGATGGAATTGAAGGCCTGCGACATTTAGCCTTAGGACTTAGACGCTGGATTCTAGAGAGATCTCTGTTTAGTCACTGGTGTTTAGCCCACATGCCTCCATAAATCTTTTGTATGTTTGCTTCCTCTGTCTCTATGAGTAATATACTGGAAGTTAATGTTTTCAGGGACTCTGGTTCTTTTGTTTTTCAGCTGCTAAATAATTGAATTCTACTTCCTTTACAGATTGTATGTTTTTTTGCCTCTGAAAATGTTCATTTAAGCTTTGTGAATGTTTGTGTGTTTATATATGTGTGTGTGTATTTTCTTTTTTTACCCCCTGCAAATTCAGGGAGGGCACAAATGGAAGGGCTATAAATATAGGGATCCTAAGTTGAAAAAAGGAGTCCCTGGGTGGCACAAATAGTTAAGCACTTGGCTGCTAACCGAAAGGTTGATGGTTTGAATCCACCCAAAGGCGCCTCGGAAGAAGGCCCTGGCGATAGATTTCTGAAAGGTCACAGCCATTGAAAACCCTGTGGAGCACAGTTCTACTCTGAGACACACAGTGTTGCCATGAGTCAGAATTGACTCACTGGCAGCTGGTTTATTTTTTTATTTTAAGATGGAAAAAAGTGTTGTCGTTGTTAGGTTCTCTTGAGTCGATTTTGACTCATAGTAGCCCTGTGTGACAGATAGAACTGCCACATACGGTTTCCAAAGCTATAAATCTTTACAGAAGCAGACTGCCACATCTCTCTCCTGTTAAGCTGCTGGCAGGTTCGAACTGCTAACCTTTTGGTTAACAGCCGAGCGCTTAACCACTGTGCCACCAGGGCTGCTGGTGGTTATTAAAGAAGAAGGTGATCATCACTGCTGTAAATTATGAAGCCTCATCTTTAAAATTTCAGAGTAAGAGCTGTAATGAAAATTATCAGTGAGCTAAATATTTATAAAACTGGTGGCATATTTGTTGTATTTATTTGATTCTTAAGAGTCATTTTGCTTTTGGACACATGTTAATTTGTCACTTAGGTGGCTGTGGTATGGCTGGTGATATGTGTGGTAACTCTTCTAGTTCAAAGCAGAGTATAGTGGCTCTTTAGATCACTGTTTCTCAGCTAGTTTGTAAGGCTTCTTTGCTCTGTTGTAAATAGATCCTTGGTGTTCTGTGAAATCTTGAGTGTCCGCCCTTCCCTTCATGAGGGGATTCAGGGAATGGTAGGTGGAGGTGATGGGAATATCCATGGTAGAAGGTGGTTGTTGTATGCATCTAGAATGTCATAGAAAATACTTTGACGTTTCTAAGTCCATAACCACCAAAAATCACATACACCCTGAGAATGTGAACAGGGTGGGAGGTTGTGGTTGGATCCTGGGTCCTTAAGGCCCGTAATCAAAATAAAACTAATGAGCAATGTTTAGGCCTGATAGCTTGGGCCTCTTTCCTTAAAATACTCTACCATCTTCCAGCTCTCAGAAGGAGAAAGAGGCTGAGAAGTTATTAGCCAATTGCGTCTCTTCCATAGCAGTTCTTAGACTAAGAGGGGAAGAGCAAAGCAAGTTGGAGGGGTTAATTCAAGAAAACTCTTTGACTTAGCCTAGAAGATGTGAGAAGGGAAAGCAAACAAGCGTATCTTTATATGATGGAGAAAGAAGTATATAGAAGAAAAGGAATAACATAATAAAAAGAGTAAAATTTTTTGTGTTCTTTTTTCTCCTTTAATCTGTACTAACTTGTAGACCTAGGGAGTGCCCTATACATAGTAGGTGCTCTGTAAATACCCATTATTGGTGGTGATGATGATCATTTAGCTGAGAGAGTCTTTCTGTAGTGACTTTTTAAGTGAACGATCTGTTTTAAAAATGGAATTATAGGTAAAATGCATTTGGTAAAAGAAAGATTATAAATTACCTCAGCCCATTAACTGTTTACATGTTTCTCCAGATAGAGTATGGCTTAATACTTTTGCAACAGTCATATGCCTTATTTATCTGCTTCTGTTCTAATTCTTTAAAAATAACTATTAACAGAAATGGGAAGAAAAGAAGTGAAAGCAATATGGAATGCTGTGTGATTGGGTAAAACCAAATAGAGTGTTTTTTTTTTTTAAGTTCACGGCATTCTGTTTATCTTCTGTTAAAAGAACTAACAAGCTTATTACTGCAGATTTTTCCCCAGAAGGGGGGCTGTATTACAAAGGAGGGAAGTGTATAATAAGAGCCTTTTATACAGCATAGAGTGTGTAAGAGCAGCTTTCGTTCTGGGGGTGGTAAATGGAGGCCCAGTTTTCACTGGCGAAGTGCTTTCTCGTGCCTGGCTGGGTGAGCTGTGTCCCAGTCTACATCAGCACATGCGCGTGGCCGTCCTTGCCACGTGGTGCCAAGACAGTTTGGTGAAATTCACCAGGGCTGGAAATCTAAAGTAAGACTCTTTTTGCCACAGTTACTTTGATGTGGGAAAATTTTATACAAATGGAGGGAGCAAAAAAATACATTCAAGATATTTCTTACTTCCACATGTCCTCATGGAGTCTAACTATCTTTGTTGCCAGGCGGTGAACCTTATCAGTGGGAGAGGCGGTGGATGGATTGCTCTGGGTAGATCAGTCTCTGCCCTGTTTGGAATCTCAGCTTGCTGCTCTCCAGGGCAGGTGGTTGTGTAAGACGCTAGTTATTATGAAGTGACTATGGGCATGTGCTGTCCCAACAGCCCGGTGTCAGCCATATTTCACAGATAAGGGAACAGGCCCACGGGGCTTAAATGACTTTCCCCAGGTTGTACAGATAGTTAGTGGCAGAGTGTAGATTCAAATATGGGTCTTTTGACCACAAATGTTCGTTTTGAAGAGGTAGATTTATGGGAGCTTATCAGTTCTCTTTTTCCCCACAGAGGCCCTGGCTTTATTCTCAGTTATTTTTTGTTAGCTCATGAATTTTTCATAGCAAATTATCAGACTCTACTTTTCTAGGGAACCCTGGTGGCGCAGTGGTTAAGTGCTTGGCTGTTATCTGAAAGGTTGGCAGTTCGAACTCATCGGCTATTCCACGGGAGAAAGATATGGCAGTCTGCTTCTGTAAAGATTTAAAGCTTGGAAACCCCATGGGGGCAGTTCTGCTCTGTCCTGTAGGGTTGCTATGAGTCAGAATCAACTGGATGGCGTCGGTTAAGAGGGATATACTTTTCTGAATTATTTATCTTTTGTATACATCAGTTTGTATTTAAGAACTGAAAGTTAACTATAAAGTCCATCTTATGTCAGAAAAATTCGTATGTGTATTGTTTATATACGTGTGTGTGTGTATGTGTGTGTGTGTGTGTGTGTGTGTTGTTGTTGTTGTGTGCCATCAAGTTGATTCCAACTCATAGCGACCCTAAAGGACAGAGTAGAACTACCCTATAGGGTTTCTTAGGCTGTAATCTTTATGGGAGCAGATGTCCAGGTCCTTTCTCCTGTGGAGCTGCTGGTAGGTTTGAACCACCGACTTTTTGGTTAGCCACTGAATGCTTAACCATTCCGCCTTCAGGGCTCCTTATGCATCTGTGTCTATCTATAGGGTCGCTTGAATTGGATTCGACTCGACGGCAGTAGGTTTGGTTTTTTTTGGATACGTATACATACCCCGGTGGCGTAGTAGTTAAGTGCTGTGGCTACTAACCAAAAGGTTGGCAGTTCAAATCCACCAGGTGCTCCTTGGAAACCTTATGGGGCAGTTCTACCCAGTCCTCTAGGGTCACAATGAGTCAGAATTGACTCGATGGCAACAGGTTTTTTTTCTTTTTTTTAAAATATATAATTTATTTATATATATATATATAATGCATTCTAGGGCTCGATGGGTAGGAGATATTTTTGGGGGTGGGGTGTAGGCCATTTTTTAAATTGATCTTTTCCTTTGCAGTTCTCCCTTTTTAACAAAAATGGAATGTTAACCATTTTGTGGTTTTTAATCAGTGACTTTGAGGATGGAATCAGAGTCTGTTTAAGTTTATAAGGAAAACTATTTTGAAGGGAAAACTTTTTGTTGAATGCCTTCTGAGTACCAGGAGTATAGAGAAAAATATATGAAGGTCCTACTCCGGGAAAGCCCACTCTAATGAGGGACACAGGCAAGTTAACAAATGACGGTGATACATTGTGAATGAGTGCCTAGAGCTGGGGATGAAGTGGAAAAGGACAAAAAGACACGGTTCCCACTCTTTTCCATGAGGCAAACTCTTTATAACCTTCATTGCCTGGCTTAAATGTCACTTTTTTTTTTTCTTTCATAGTTTTCTCTGATTCTCTCACAAGCAGAATTAGCTGCTTGCTTCTTTTTAATAGTGGGAGAAAAATGTGGCAGTCAGCTTCCATAAAAATTACAGCCTTGGGAAGCCTGTGGGGCAGTTCAGCTCTCTCCTATAGGGTTGCTATGAGTCGGAATCAACTTGATGGCAACAGGTTTGGTTTGGTCTCTTTTTAATAAAAACATCCGCCCATTTCTTATGCACCTATCACATTTTAAACCAAAATTTATTATTATCAAAATATTGAATAGGGTGCAAGTAAACGGTGTCCATTGGATTAAAATGTAAATACTTGAGGGTTTGTTTTTTTTTCTTTGAAAACTGACATCAGGATAAGTGGGGATTATCGAAAGAGTGCTACTTTCTGTTATTTTATTTATTTATTGTTGCCTGGTTGCTAAATGGCATTATGAACAGTATGTTAAAATGGAAGACTCTATCACACTGAAGTCAACAAGCCTTCTGAGTCTGTATCCCTGTGGTATGGAAAAATAGAGTACTGTCTATTTTGAAATCAGCCAAATGCGTGTCAACACTTGAGGGCATTCTCTTAGGACTCACCCAGGACCTTTGTCATAATTGTTTGGGGTTTATTTCCCTATATGGGAGGGAAAAGACTCATTGAATGTTGAGTGGAATAGCTTTCCCATTTCTCAGAGCAGCAGGGTGTGTGTGTGTATGTGTGTGGTATGCATTAAAAACAGAAGGAAATCTGTATAATAGAAGAGTGTCTGCCTTCAGGTAATAAGTATTTACGTTTAATATTATATTCTGAGATTGAGTTTTGAAATGAATCAGTGTTTAAGTGGCTGATTAGAAGTCGTTTGGGTGAGCGGCTGTAACGGTGCATCCATCAGGAAGCACTGTCAGGTTGCCAGGAACAATGAATGAAAAGGGAACGAGGCAGACCCTTTCCAAGACTTCGGTTTCAAGAAGCAAGATATATGATATTGTTTGCATCTTGGCTTATTTTGTCTATTGTTAAAATTTCTTCTCCTTGTGTAATTTTCAGAGGTGAAGGTCCCAAAGTATTTTATTTAAAAGAAATTCATAAAGAAGCCACTTTGAAGAACAAGACATGCATCCATTATGCTAACTGTTCATGCATAATACATCCACATACATGCCGTTTCTTTGAGACAGAGAGTGGCAAGTGGTTGTGCCAGAGAAAAAGTAATTACTTAGCAGTTTGAAAGTGAAAATGAGTCTCTTATTAACAGCAATCTATCCAGAAACAAAGAGCAAGGATCTCTGTTCGGATGACATGTGTTTTCATCTAACACACAATACCTAGAATTTGGAGAATGCTGCAAGACAGCTTTGGGGGGCAGCTACTACTTCTTTATCACCCCTGAAAATTGAAGGGAAAGGACTTTGAATTGGAAGAAAGAACACCAAAAAGAGAAAGAGAGTGAAAGGAATGCCATCCCAGTGGGAATGATTTAATTTCTTGTATTCTTTAAGGAGAAGTGTGTAGAAATCCAGAAAGCACTGTTGAGTCCCAGCCATACTTACCCAGGTGGAAAAATAGGAGTATCGATTATTATTAAAAATGATTTGATGGTTTTCTCATTGCATCACCAAGGATTCTAACACAGGTAAATTACGCCCAGTTCTGATGCTGTGCATGTTTAGATTTTTTAAAATATTGTAACTGGACGTAAACGGGATGAAAAGTACTTGGAGAAAAGTAGAAGTGGTGTGGGGTTGAGCTGACCTCCTCAGACTTAGTGTTATAGTCTGTGCTGTATGTCAAGAGTGCAGTATTTTTCTCATTATAGCAAGTGTCCTTATAATTGCTTCTTTCATCGTTGATCTTTCTTAGTAGATCATAAGTTTGTGAGCACATTGTCTGTTATGTTCCTCATTGCTTTACCCCCACTGCCTAACATAGTGCCCGGCAGGTGTAGGTCCTCTATAAATAATTTGTTCAATGCTGGAAGGAGGGAAAAAGACATTCTGTGGCATAGGAAGACCAATGATAATGGTAGATACTTGCTTAGAAGTAATTCCACCACCTGTAAGGTACTTGCCTGTAGACAGATGGTCTTCTCTCTTGGTGTTGTGTGTGTGCAGTACAGGTATGTTTTTTGGACCCCAAACTGGCCTTTCAGTAGGCTGCCAGCCCGCCACTGCATCTGTGTACCAGGGAGATAAAAATGAATTTTATATTAGTGGAAGTAGACACAATTCAGAAGGTTAGTTTTGGGGTTTTTTCGACCAAATATTCATAGATCACTCTGTAAAATATAAAGATGTCTTGGTGTCTACATCAGTTATCTGTACTTCTGCTGAGCCCTGCTAAGCAGACATTTTAGTGTTAATTGTAGTTGGATGATATGTGGAGAAAAAAGAACTGAGCTACCCATTTTTTAGAGGGGAAGAGGGAAGATGCCAGTTCACAGTGGAAAGATTTCCCTCCACAAATCAATCAGCCAGTGCATTGATACGCTGGTTTAGTTTCAGAAGCCAGGTACCTGCCTGGATGAAGCGCGAGGAGGAGATCTGGAAAACAGCCAGGGCTTCTAATATTAAGGGTTTTCAAAACCAGCAAGGTCATCCTCCAGTCAATTCACCACTTCATAAAGAGCCAACACAGAGACTCTAGAGTAGGTGTAATACCATCCAGCTTGCTTCAGCCAGCCAGCACTTGTGTTGCTGGGTTCTACCCCAGCCTTGAGCCAGAGAGAATCACTGGGCATCATAATTAAGTGATGTGAACCCAGGCACATCTGTTGCTATTGCAAGGTCCTCATGAGCAATTCTAACACAGAAAGAAGCAGTTTCTACAAATGGTGCAGCTGCGTAGGCAGGGTAGAGGAAGGGGAGGGTGGATGAGGGGCTTCTGTGGAGCATAAAGATAGGACATTCTTCCAAAAAGGCCCAGAATCCTTGCTAACATTTCTTCTTGCTATCGGGAGAATGAGAGAGAGGTTACAAGATATTTTTCTGGGTTCACCTAAAAAAATAAAATAAGTGGGTGTTTGGAGTCCTGCTTAGTAAATACATACGTACTTCATGTTTTGTTCAGCTCCGGTTTGAGATAAGTAAGCCACGTTTGCGGCATGTGTTGATTCCGTCCCCCAACGCACAGCCCTTTCAGTATCCATAGCAGATGGTCAATTCTGTGACTGCCAGTTCTGTCATAATGTGGTTGCAGAAAATAGAAAGCAAAGCAACATGAAGACCCTGGTAGAACACAGCTGGGTTTGGGAGACAGTCTGTGAATCTGTTGGTGATGACTACGGCATTAGCCTGAAAGTACGTAGCTGAGTTATAGAAACGAGTTACCTACGTGTTGTGATGACCTAAAGCCTGCCTACCTAGGCCTTATGAGCAGAGAGCATAGACATAAAGTCTGTCTTCTGGGCGACTGGTGGAGATTACCTAAAACTGTCATGAGCTGATGATGACCAGCAATTGGTGGCAGCATTGGTGGTTTTTACGTGATGTTAACTGGTAGCCTTTTTCAGACCTGAGTAGAGATTGACCTGAAACAGGCGTCTCTGTTTAGTGTTCTCATCATGCAAAGTCTCAGTGAAAACTCTATTTGAAATAAGTCAGAACTGAATTATCCTCGAATTCCTCCCGGTGGTACTTGGAGAAGCAGATAGAAGGACACAAGTAGCATTAAGTCAGGAGCGACACTCCCAACTGTTAGATGAAGACAGATTTTCATAGGGCATCTTACACCATCAGAAATGCCAGATTACAAAACATGAAATTAATTTGAAAGTGAAATACCAGATGGATCTCGTTTGCAGTCATGACTCAGGAGTTTAAGTCTAGTCAGAAAGAGTATATTAGGCTCCTTTTTGTGCCTTAGACTCTACTGTGCATTGTTTGGGGTGAGGTGGTGGCCTGGCAGGGATGGTGGGGAAGTTAAAACCAACAGAAGCCAAGTTCTAGAAAACAAGAGCAACAGTCCTGAAACAGGCGGCCAGCACTGTCATAGAAATCAAGTGCTATACTGTCTGGTAGTCAAATTGGGTGAGAGCAAAGGTCTGCGAAAGCTTATTTGAGAGTCCAGAGTGCTGGCGTTTAGAATTGTAAACACCAAAAAACAAACAAAAAAACACTAAATGCAATTTATCTGGTAAATTGGAACTAGAGACTGTATTAGACAGGATTATTTTTTCAGAGGATAGAGTTCCACAAGGAAACTTTAATGCAAGAATATGCCTTCTTTATGAAATGGCCCTTGGCCCAGCCTGACCCATTTTGTGGGCGGTCTGAGTCAGGGGGATCATTATTTTAGAAGGTCCGAGAAAATTCGCTGGACGTAAAGGTACAGATACCATGCTGGTTGAGCAGTACAGTTAACCATGTGACTGTTGTTTTGTTTTATTTTTTTAAGTTTTTAATTTTGCTTTGTTTTCAGAAAATTGCTGTTGTTTGTAAGCTTGGTATTGCTTGCCTTTCCAAAGTTAAAATTTATGATACAAATTTAACATTTCCTTTTTTTTTTTTTCCTCATTTCAGTGTGACAAAATTAGGCAAGAACGAGATGAAGCTGTTAAAAAACTGGAAGAATTTCAGAAGAGTACGTAAGCATTTCAGTGGAATTATTGTAACACACGTAATTGTGTATTGGGATTATGTTTAGTGACTGATGCTTTGGGCATCTGATCAAGAAAGCAAGAGTTGTCTTCCTGTTTGCCCATGAAATGCCTGGCATTACTGTGATTTTTAAAGAAATACTAATGAGCATTGTTTTATGTGTATAAAAGATAGTTTGTACTTGTTATAAAATTTTTTTTACTACACAGAAAAGTTAGAGGAGAACAAAAATTACTTTTTACCTTGACTCCTTGAGAAAAACAAGTTAGCATTTTATAGTAGTATATCCTTCCTGGTCTTTTTTCTGAGTAATATATGTATCTAAGGAGCCGTGGGGACAACAGTGGTTAAAGTGCTCGGCTGCTAACTGAAAGGTTGGTGGTTCGAACCCACCAGCTGTTCTTTGGTAGAAAGATGTGGCAGTCTGTCTCTGTAAAGATTTACAGCCTTGGAAACCCTAGGAGGCAGTTCTACTCTGTCCTAGAGGGTCACCATGAGTTGGAATCAGCTTGATGGCAGTGGGTTTGGTAGTGGGTTTATATGTATGTAGAAAAAAATGCATTTAGTTTATAACCTACTTTTTCCAGTAAACAGTATATTGTGGTCATCTGTGCCTGTCAGTAAAAATGTACATCAGTTTTAATCATCGCCCATAGTATTCCATTATATGATAGTACCATCATCATTTCTTCAGATATGCCTTCAATGATAGACGGATTATTTCTGGTTTTTAGTTATTATAAATAATGCCATGGCAAGTATTCTTATATATTATCTTTACAGTGGTCTGATTAGTTCCTTAGGTTAATGCATAGAAATGGAATTATGGGTTCAGAGAACTTTTACGTTTTTAAGAGTTGGAATGTCTGAAATTGCCTTCTCGCTGAGGAAAATTATATTCCCACAAAAGCTTATAGGTGGCTAACTTCCCAAAATCTTTTCTGAATGTTTGCTGTGTGATTTTTTTATGTGGTATAAATCTGTTATTACTTTATCCCCCAAGATAGAGCACAGCTGATCGCTCTCAGAAGGATCAGATGGACGGATGTCATGGGAAAAGGGCCAGGCCTTATTAGTAGGGAGAGCACCTTCTCTCGGAAGCAAGGCCTTTCTCCATCATTCTCCAGATGCTGTAGCAGTCGGGCAGTTTGATTATATCATAATCTGTTGACTGGGTAAACTACACGACAGAACATTTTGTCCTTGTTGAAGGAAAGAGCCGTAAAAAATGCAGCATTATAGTTAAATTTCAATAGGCCAGTTTATTTTTCAGCATCTGACTATACAAAGAAAAATTAAAGGGAACGTTGTTGGTCCTACCTATCTTTGGAGGTCAGTATGCTACGATAGAAATACCTCTTATTTGTGAATTTATGAATTGCAATTGCATAGGGCTTTCTCCCTCCCTCATGCAGGATTAATGGAATGTTCTTACATTTGTGTTGACACCGAGTCTTGTCTGCTACCAATATGCTTGAATTATTCATAGCCAATTGGTGTCCTTTGTGCAATGGGAATAATTCAAGTTCTTATGCTTAGACTTATCATCAGATATTTTGGTCCAGGTAGGTAGTAGGGATTTTGCCTCTTGCATTATGCAAAAATGAAGCAACTTCTCCCCAAATCAACCTATCTTTGGTGTAACATGTAAACTCTGCTTTCATCTACCATTTCTCTTCTCCTTTTCTTTGTCTCTTATTCTCAATACTTCTGATAGCTTAAAAAATTTACATTTTTCCTTATGAGCAACTCTAATTAAAGCCTGAAAGGATCAGTTGAAAGGTTAGTACAGCAATCTCAATTGTCATAGTCACTTAATTTTTATCTTTACTAAGTTTGCTTAATTGAAATTCGAATGGCAGGAGAACAGAATGCTAACCCTTTATTCAGTCTCAAAAGAGCAGAAAATAGGGAATAAGAAGACTTCTGAAATATTTGTTAAAAAGCTGTATCTGAGTTAAATGGTTCACAGCTTTGGAACAGAGGTTAGGATTTCAGATTTGGAAGGAAATGAGGCTGTATTTCCAGAGAAGAGCACCTCTGGCGTGAATTCATGTAGCCCTGAGCAAGTTTCTGTATTACTAAAATCGGGATTAACAGCCCTTCCTCATTGGATGGCCAAGGATTAAATGAGATCCATGTAAAAAGTGCCTACCACAGTGCCTGGCGCATAGTAAGTGCTCAGTAAATGTTAGTTGCTGCTTCTGCCATCTCATCTATGGAACCACCCTGTGTCTAACTGTCCTTCAGTGTTAAAAGAGTTCCTGTCATTTGCCTTTAGTGAGTTTGTATCATCCACCTTTAAGTAGATGCCAGTCTTCACATTTGGACAGTTCTGGAGGAAAGTGTTCTTTTGTGCTGATGTGAGATCTGCTTCCTGTAATTTTTATCTACTAGGATTGCTATGAGTTGGAATCGACTTGCAGGCATTAGGGATGGGTATGGTATGAGTGGGCCTAGTTCTTGATCTGTAGGAAGAGCGGCTGAATAAGGCTCCAGGAAAAGCTTTGTTAGGCCATAGGGCCCTCCTCCCTAGCTCTGCATGTGCTCCCCATATTTCCATGCCATTCTTGATTCTCTCCCAGCTCTTCCTGAGCCTTTCTCCTGGTCTTTCTGCATGAAGAACATCACCGCATAGCAAAGCCACATTCTCTAGAAAGACACATCCCTGTAAAGGACAAGTAAATGAAGTCATTTCCTGTCTTTCAGGCCAAAACCTTAGATCTTTTTTTAGGGCACACCACTTTTCCTGTACACACACCAGCTTTATGGCTGTTTTCTTACCACATGAAACCTTTCTGAGTAATCTGGTGTTGACGAAGAACTTGTGGTATGTTTCCTACATACGCTGTTGAGACGCCCCGCACCTAGATACTGGTGGGAGTTGGCTAGATGGAAAGGAGTTTTGCTCAGGAAGCAGTGTCGTTGGTGGTGTCACCTTTAAATATGATGAATTAGAAAGGAACACAGAAAATTGGAGTTACCTAGAAATGGGTTTGGTTCAGCATCACTGCTTAGAATCCGTGATTTGAGACATGTTACTTTATTTCTCTGGAAATATTTAAGAAATTTTAAGAATATTTAAGAAATATTTAAATATTTAAGAAATTTTATATTTAAGAAAATACAAAGTTGCTATGATAATACCTACTTCATGGAATTGTGAGGATTTATGAGACAATACACGTAAAAGGTTTAGCACAAGACTGGACACATAGTCAGGCTCAGTAAATGACGATGGTGGTGGTTTCCTTAGCAGTCCTGTGCTACAGGGAACGTTTTCGTAGAAGGGCGCTAACAGATGAACTTAGGCAATCATTCAGACAAGCACAAAAATGAGTGCCTACTTTGGACCCAGCATTGTGCTAGGTGCAAGAGAATCAAACATTAAGTAAAACAAAAACCTTGCTCTAATGCTCACAGCTAGCAGAAGACAGAAATAAGTGAAAAACGGGTATCCTACAAGAATGTAATGAATGTCGCTGAACAACATGCATAGAAATTGTTAAATGAGAACCTAATTTCCTGTGTGAACTTTTACCAAAAACACAATAGAATACTAAAAAACAAAAAACAGTTACCCTACAAGATGTGTACTATGATGGCAAGAATGTGAGGGTGCTTTGGGATCACAGAAGAGGAAAGAAGCTTTGCTAAAATAGTGAACCCCCATGTACCCATCATCCAGCTTAACAATCACCAATTCATGACCAGTCTTTCATCTCTGCACCGACACACCCACTCTCACTGACCACCTCCACCCCAGATTATATTGAAACTAATTCCAGTCATCATATTGTTTTATCTGTAAATATTTCAATATGTATTTCTAAAAGAAAGGAATTCCTTTTTTGATTTGTTTTGTTTTATAACCGTAATTGCGGTATTAGGGTCACTTGTTTGAACCTTGTCTTTTTTCTTTGTTAAACCTCTTGTTATCCAAATAGGTCCCTGAGTGGTGTAAGCAGTTTGCGATTGGCCGCTTACCTGCAGGTTGGCTGTTTGAACCCACCCAGCTGCACTGCAGAAGAAAGGCCTGGTGATTTGCTTCCATGAAGATTAGAGCCAAGAAAATTCCATTGAGCAGTTCTACTCTGTAAACACATGAGATCGCCATGAGTTGAAATCGATTCAGCAGCAATGAGTTTGGGATTTTTGGGGTTTTAGTCATCCAAATATGTAAATGTTATAGGAATAGTGGTCAGGGATTATGGATATTATAAGACTCACTCAAGTTCAGGTCCATAAGGGACCCCATAAAATGAACAACTAAAGATTAAAAACAAAACTCGTATCCTTTGAAAGGTGCAAATAAATTCATATATAAAAAAATATTTCTTTTTTGGGTCATGTGACATGACTTTTGGTTTTAGAAATGGAATTGTGCTTTTTAAAGATGTAAGTGTCCTCTGAAACATACTCTTAACCTTCTAAACCTAGAAAGTTGGTAAGTTGGTTTCTCTGCTACCGATGTAGCATTGGGATAATTTCTTAAACTAACAATAAAAGCACGATGTTTCATTTCCATTGTTCCCCCTTCTGAGGAAGACATAAAATTCCTACCCAGTGGAGTGTACCATATCAGCATTGGAGAAAGTGTGGGCAGTGCTACCTAGCTAAGTTTATCGAGTGAAATTACATGGCAGCTTTTTACAAAACGTTTAGAAAATAAACGTTGTTTTCCCTTTTGCCAGGCCTAAACCTTGCTACTGTGGAATGATTTTTCTTATTCTTCCATGAGCAAGAATGTTATTGAATAAAAAGTCAAATTCCTCTGAAAAATGCAGAGTGTTTATGTTTTTGTGATGATAGTGGAAATACCAGATTGTGGCAGAAGATGTCAAGTAGTTAAGGCTAAAAATTCAAAGTAATATTTGATGTTGTAAAAATTGTATAGGTTTCTTTTCTCTTTCCTTCACGTTTTTGAAGAACCTACCTTGTAAACATAGTGATAAAATGCCAGGAATATTAGGATTTTAAGGAAATAATAGAGCCTATTATTTAAACTACAATATAAAAGGCAATTATATTGATGAAGAGCTACATGGGCTTTGTGTGTGTGAATAAACTTGGCCTGTGTTCAGCTTCTATTTGTTCTTCTGGCATAAACACATATTGTGTGTGATTCCAGTTTAATGGGGACCCGTTTGTATGCCAAGCAGCTGCATTTTAGGGCCTATTGCGTGATTTCATAGCTCTCTGAAAATTGGTTCTATTCAGAACAAGAGATAGAAGAGAAGGAGGGGGGCATTGGGAGGGGGGGAGCTTCAACACACAATCATTTCTTTTCAATTGGAGCCAGAAAGGTTGATGACAACATGACCATTGTGTTATAATGATAAGACCACTAAGGCATCTGTACCTCTCATCAAGGCTTTCACACAACAGCAGATACAATTTAATTCACTGCTCTGTCAGCAGTGCTGATACCATTATGCCGTCTGTCTCCACAGTTATAATCACTGTCCTCTGAGAAATGCAGTTGAAATGATCTTGAGCAGTCAAAGAAACTCTCAATTAAGGCTGCCACTTCCAATGTGTCAGATTGTGTCTTATGCACTTGGTACAATTTTCACTTCCAATCCTGTTTATTTACAATGTCTACCAGTAATTACGCTTAACGTGTCATTTAGTGAGGGGGGCCCCTGCCAAGCCGATTGTTGGGTGCTGCTGTACCATTGAGTGGGAGTTTCTCGAAGTCAATGCCATCAGCAGCTTTTAGGCCCTGATGGGATGCAGTAGTAATGTTGATAATGCAAGTATCGTGCTCATCAAGTCATAATTAGATGCCACTCAAATGTGCCACTTGTAATAACAGTGTTGATTCATGTTTTTCTCGGTGACTGCAACTACTAATTAGTTAAGTGGTTTTTGGTTGGCCTGCATTTGCTGCAGATTATTATTACCCCTGAAAAAATGTCAAGGTTAGAGATGTTTCTGGCCATTTAGTGCTGCTTTATGAATTTGAATATTAACATAATAAGAACTTTGGACAGACTTAGGAAGTAATATATTTTTGTATTTAATTTGGAGAGAAATTTTTCCCCTGAGTTTAATCATAATTGCAGGTTAATTAAGCTTAAATGAAGCAAAAGTAATCTCTCTTTGTGTTATGTGAGCCCAGTGCTTTTTGCCTAACCTTGTTGGTTTTCACGTTTGGGTGTCCTTTAATTTTTTTTTTTTTTTTAAGACAAACACATGTCAATAAGTATACATGTCTACAGTTAGCTTTGCAATCCTGAATATTTTCTTTTAACTAGAAATATGGATGGGAAAGAATTGGCATTTTTCTTACTTGAACTTCAAAACATAATTCAAATTCCCAGTAAGTTGGTACCTTTAAATCTCAGTTTATATAAACCAGATACCAAAAATCTAAAAAGTGCTATTTTTCAAGCATGGGTAAAATCTCAAGTAAATTTTTGTTTCTTCTAATCCTCCTGACAATCTGTGATGCAGGAAGCAATTTCTTAGCATCTGCTTTCATCATCATATAGTACATAAATCTTTTTGCTATGCTTTACTGCCCTGAGTTTATTAAATACTAGGAACGACCGTCACTAATAAGGAGTACTGTTGGCAATACTTAGCTGAGCTGCCACATCGTTATGACAGCCATGAGATGCATTTAAGACTTGCTTTTCTTTTACTTCTAATTAGCTAGTTTTCCTTATTAGATCCATGTGTTGTATCCTGCTAAGAAAAGGAAATCATGTTTACCACTTCTCTTTATTTATGATAGATTCTTTTGTTTAAATTAGCAGATATGTCTATGGATATGTATACAGCTACATAGATAATAACAATTAAAAAAGAAAAAATGAAACCCATTGCCGTTGAGTCGATTTCGACTGGTAGCAATGCTATAGAACAGAGTAGACCTGCCCCACCGGGTGTCCAAGACTAAATCTTCAAGGAAGCAGACTGCCACCTCTTTCTCCTGAAGAGCATCTAGTGGGTTTGAACTGCCGACCTTTCGGTTAGCAGCCAAGCTCTTTAACCAGTGTGGCAGTAGGACCCCTTAGACACTTATAAAAAGTCTCCTAAGTGGCTTTCTTAAAATGTGTGTAATAGCAGTAAAGTTTCTTCATTGTCTTCTTTTTTCTTTCTGTGTTCAAATGTTAGCTACAGTTTTATCAGGACACTTAAAAAAACTCTTTCAATGACAGTTAAAGGTCTGGCTAGCTAAAGAATTGAAGTATTCTTAATCATGGGACATGATGCGTGGGCTTCTGAAATAGCTGACTAATCTTTGAATGCTGAGATTTTTTTTCCCCCTCCTTCCTAGTTTCTCACATGGTTATAGAGGAAGTTAATTTTATGCAGAACCATCTTGAAATAGAGAAGACTTGTCGAGAAAGCGCTGAAGCTTTGGCAACAAAGGTGAGACTATTCAGATGTGGGAGCTCTACCTGAGCTTTTTTATTTCAACTTGGTTTTCTAAACAGTGGCTTCTATCTGTTTTTGCTTTTCTGGTTCTCTAATCAGTCGTCTGCTCTCAGCACGAGGAAGGTGTTGTAGGGTCTTGGAATCTGGGATATGATTATGTAAATATCTGCCTTATTGCAAAGGTTATTTTGATGATAAAAAGAGCATGCATATATGTGTATCTCAGCATTTGTGCTTTTTGCCTGGGAAGAATAGTCCCAGAGGAGTCTGCTAAACTGGACTTTCCAAGTGTCTGTGCGTTTGGTTTAAATGGTAACTAAGTCTCAAACTAACCTGGCGTGGCATAAAACAGTGATGAGTGTTTCATGTTTGAATCAGATGAAAAAGTCAGCCTTAAGCCTTACATTTCAGGTGATTATTTGTGAAAGCAAAGCGAGGGCGTGCTAAAGGTGACCTCCAGTGCTCCACTGATTGCTTCTGGCTGATGAATTTACCAAGTGTGTAATTTTCTATATTCTGTCTCATCAGAAGTACATTATTATTAAAGAATTTTTTTTTTCTCTGTCTTACGTATTTTGGGTTGGGTAAAATGCATCTGAACCACTTCATCAGAAAATGGATTACAGCAATTTTCAACCAAATTTCATTAGTAATGCCGGTTGTGTTTCTTCTCCCCTCGCTCCCGTCTCCCCCCTCTAAAGTATTTCTTTGGATGTGAGTGAATCCTGCTACCATTAAATATATAAATAAACAAATCTGTTTAATTTGTGTGCATTAGCAGTGTTCTCGCTGGAGGTATTTGCTTGATTGTTTGCATAACGACACTACATTAGAATTCATAAGATATTCAGTCAGAAGCTAGCCAAGAAAATAAATGTGTGCATGTAACTTCTGTTATTTACCTGAGGAGTACCTAGTAATACAAGTCATTGCTTTCAAAACAGTGGCAACATGGGTACTCACATTTTCACTCTGCTCTACATCATGGCAGTTCACTGGTCCATGGTGTCGTGTGAATTTGTTCATTTCCTTCATTTCTTCTTTTAGAACAAGCAGAGAGAAACGTACGTGGAGCATTCTAGCTGCTCTGAAACTTCTAGCGTCTAAGGATAGTCTCTGGCTGTATTTTCTCTTATTAACAAGTAGTGCAATGGTACAGCCAGAGTGGGAACACTGACTACCTCTCAGGTCTGGCAGCATTTATGGGAGGAGCAATGGTTTGGGGGGCCATATATGCAGATTTTGTTCCTGGTTTTGTCATTTTGGGCATATGTGACTTTGGGCGATTTAGTTTTCCTCTCTGGGCTGCTAGTTGTCTCATCTTAAGTGACAGGAGGGACCAGAGTTAGGACTGGGGTGGGGGTGAAGTAGACTTTTCTTGTTTCATGATGCTCTTTAATCATTGGTCCATATATGGCCCTCTTTTAAGAACTATTTTTAGTCCTCTTTCCCTTTCTTTTTTAACCAACAGGTGACTTTGGACAAGAGAATTCTGGGCTGTAATTGTCTTGTTCTAAATGTCAGGGTGGACACAGATTGGCTTCTTAAGAATACCCCAGAACCACTGTCTCGAGGGTTGTGGCTCAGGCATGTGTATGTTAACAAATTTGCCTGGTGACTGTTACATTCATCCCTGGTTACAAACCGCTGAGGCCGTTTTTACGATTTAGTCTTTACGATAGGAGCCTCTGACTTACACAGTCTGTCACCTATTCCTTAAGATGCCTTTTTGAAAATGTACATATCGTTTGTTTTTGAGAGCATAATATGGACTTTTGGGCCCTGGACTGAAAAGAAACAAGCAGACCTACTCAATCAAACACTATAGATGTGCTCATTGGATGTGGAAGGCACTACACCTTTGAATGGAAAATTTAGACGCGTCATTATATGTATGATCAATAAATGATAACAGCATGTCCTGATTTAGGTATCAATTGGCATTTTCTAAGGTAGGTTCCATTTTTTGAGTAGCAAAGTTTCTATAAATTCTTACATTTATAAATCCTTGCCGTCAAATTAATGACAAATGGAATGTTTAATTCTTACGATTCAGTTTGACCTTACAATTAAAAAAAAAAGTCAGTATGGATACTTTGCTTCACAAAAATGTGGAGGTTAAACTAATAAATGTAGACCAACTATTTAAGTCATATGGTCCAAAGTCATTTAACTTGCTTATTTTGTACCTTTAAATATTCATTAAAATGCGCCCAATATAAAAACTCTCATTTGCGTTTGAGTGCAGTGGAAGGTTCTGTTACTGTGGGGTTATACAAGATTTATTTTTGTCTCGTGACTGAAGATAGAAGGATTCCCAAAAACAAGTGGCATGCTGTTAACCTATAACTCAGTGAAAAATAACTGTAGTGAAATTGCTTAGCCAAAATTTGTGACTGCAGAGTTCTCAAAAATATTCAGTTAGTATGTACATAACACTTCACCTATATATATGTTATATATCTTCTTTCAAAATATGAAGATGGTATTTAGGAAGACTTAAATGAAAATTTCTGACTAACTTTTTCTTGAGCTGGTAACTTTGTGGTGCAGTGGTTAAGAGCTGCAGCAAGCTGCGACTGCTTACCAAAAGGTTGGCGGGTCGCATCTATCAGCCACTCCTTGGAAAGCCTAGCAGGCAGTTCTGCTCTGTCCTGTAGGGCTGCTATGAGTTGGAGCCGACTTGTTGGCAACAGGTTTAGTAACTTTGTTAAATAGAGTAGTTGTAATGCAGCCAGGGAGTTTCTGGGTAGTGTAAATGGTTAACGTGCTTGGCTGCTAACTGAAAAGTTGGAAGTTCGAGTTCACCCACTGGCATCTCAGAGGAAAGTCCTGGCAATCTACTTCCCAAAAAAGCCAGCTATTGAAAACTCAGTGGAGCACAGTTCTACTCTGACACACATGGGGTTGCCATGAGTTGGGGTCGACTCAGTGTTAACTGGTTTATTGTAGCCAGATAGCGGCTGGTGGATTTTGGGTACCTGGTTTGATAGAAGTGTTAAACTCTTTTGAGGACAGAACTGTTAACTATTTAGTTATCAAGTGTTATTGTGATGGTTCCCTGGGAAGTAATTAATTAAGCATCCACTAACCCGCTGCCGTCGAGTTGATTCCGACTCATAGTGACCCTATAATGAGTAGTAGGCATCGGATGGCAAAAATCAGAATTTTTAATTTTTCATGAGTATCTTGGAGAAAATAAAAATGCCTAAATGAATACGTTGGTTGAAGAAAACTAGCTGGTAAATGATTTCCAAAGGGAAGTTAATAAGACACAGAAACTGTACCTCTTTTGTTACTATTAATAGCTAAGCTGACTGAATTCTTACTCTAGATGACTGTATTTAGTACTTTATATGTAATATCTCATTTAATCTTCATATTGCCCTGCGAATGGAGACTATTTTTATCTCTAGTTTGCTGATGAGAAAACTGAGACACTGAAAGATTAAGTTAGTTCCAAAGGCAGAGACAGAATTTGATGACAGAGCTAGATTCTTCACCGTCTGTTTTATCAGTCCTATAGACTTTATACTAAAGCATTGTGCTACCCTACATCAGTGGCTTTTAGTCTTGAAGTGCATTAGAATCACTGGGGAAGCTCTGAAAAAGCACTATGCTGGGCGCAGAAACTTTGATCTGGTGTGGGGCCTGAGCACTGGGAATTTTAAGAAGCTTCCTCAAGATTCTGATGTGTAGTGTTGAGAATTGTTGGTTGAAATATTAGGAGGCAGAATGATCCATTGTCTTGAGCTTTTTCACTTTGTTCTAAGTTTGGTATTTTCTCCTAACATTCAGAAAATATGCCATAGTTTGAGAGTTGACAAGAAGGTTCCTCATGCTTCTAGTGCCATGCTGCGGCATTCAGGGCTTCCGACGAAGACCCCACGATGTTGTTTACTTGACTTTTCCATTTTAAGGAAGAGAGGCTGGGAAAATCATGGGCCTCATCTATTGTCCTTGACTCTCTTCATGGAATTTGGAGTTATGGAAACTGGAGCTGTGGGCTTGGGACTGGGGATAAAGGGCAATGTCTGATTCCCTCAATATAGTTTTACAGGGGCCCTAGGAAGAGTCCATGAAAAGGTTCATAGCCATTTCCAAGAGGTTCCTCCTGATTCCCTAGAGAGGTCAGGGGAACCTCTTAGGCTCCAGACCATGCATGCCCCTTGGGATGTACAGTAAAACATGGGAAAGCCGGAAACTGTGTAAGGTGGAAACCTGTCAGAGAAGGAAAATGCAAATATTTGTCGCTAAAATGAGTGATAGGAAAGTGCTAAGACTGCACCCCATCAAAGGTGGAAAACTTGCAAAACCCAGAAAAACAAAGCAATCCTGTTGAGGTCCGGCTCTCACAGGTTTCACTGTATTTAGATTCCATATTATTGCGGTAAGAATCAGGTCACCCAGATGGAAGTGGGCTGGGCTTTCCCTGTGAGAAATCCCAAGGGGCTCTTAATTATGAGCAGAAATGAAGGAGCAAAGGCAGAGAAGTACCTTACATCTTATGCTGGTGTAAGATTTACAGTAGCAAAGGGTGGTTAGTTTTCCAGTGAATTATATTTCGGTTTGTATTTATTTCCAGTGTCGATGATTAAATTCAGAGTTTGTCTTGATGGCCTATGGCCCATAGTAAAGGGAATGTGTTTGCATTTCTATGTCTTTTATTTTATTAGGGAAATCGCTCTAGTGAGTACTTTCATGTGCTCAAATAAGAAAAAACCTTTTATTTTTCAGCGTTGAGAAGAGAAACATAAGCGAAACCATATTTTCCGTCTGTGGACGTTGGACAGTTTTGTCTTTGTGTGTGCTTCTTACTAATGCTTATATGCACATTTGTACACGTGTAAACACATTAGCTAAAGGTGATGAAAATTGAGTGACTCAGACTAAAGACCAACTCATTTCTACAGCGGAGAAGAAGAAATAATGAATTAGGATTTCTTTCTTTTTTTTCCTACTGTCAGAACTCTTTATAGATATAATAAGGAGGCCTGGTGGCACAATGGTTATGCACTCAGCTGCTAACCAAAAGGTTGGTGATTGGAACCCACCAGCTGCTCTATGGGAGAAAGATGTAGCAGTCTGCTTCTGTAAAGATTACAGCCTTAGAAACCCCATGGGTTTCTAAGTTCTACTCTGTCCTGTAGGGTCACTGTGAGTTGGAATCGACTTAACGGCAATGGGTTTGGTTTTTGGTTTTATAGAGATAGTAGAAACACATCTTGAACTTCCTTTTACCATGTATTAGAACTCTATGTGCAGATAGTAGAAACACATCTTGAACTAGCTTATGCAAAAAAAGAAAGAAGGTGGAAATTTGTTAGAGAGGGACATTGGAGTCCCATAGAATCAATTAGCTGAGAACAGTTCAGAAATGGACTGGAACCAGGGTAAACCCTTTCTCCGTTGCTTTTTTCTGCCTCTCTCTACACATCAGCTTCATTTTTGGCTTTGCTACAGGCTGCCGTTCTCTGTTCCTGCATCCAGTGGTAGAATGTGGTTGCCATCAGCTTCTGTATATCCAGACGCAGAAAGAAACTCATCTCTCTGTTTCAGCCTCCAGATTCCTAGAGAAGGGATCTGATTGGCCAAGCTTGGGTCACATGCCTAATCCCTGGACTAATTAGCTGTGGCCAGAGGGATGGGATATACTTTGAGGTATATGGTTGTTTGCATAGAAATCATATGGAGCAATGAAGAGGAGTGACAGTGTCCAGAAAAGAAGGGGTGCTGGGCAAACCGACATTTAAAAGGTGTTCACAGCACACCATCAACCAAACATTTGCTTGAAATAAAGCACCTTAATTAAGACTGTTAATGACTGTGAATGAATTGAAATTTGATTTCATCTATACTGGTATGCTTTATCTTAATTCCTCTCGTATTTCTTATCAGTTGTAACTAGCATTTTCACATGCTGCTGGCTGTATTCCAGGCATCAGGTCTTACTTAAAATAATAAGTTTAATATTAAAAAGTGTAAATAGAACCATATTTAGTGAATTCGCTAATTGTTATTTCCTGCTGTGAGTGTTGATGAATATGTAAGACAAAAATACGCTTAATTTGTCTGTTGTTTAAAAATCCAAGACACTCATTTGACTGCTGTTAAAATAACCGTTTTTATATTTTGTCTTAGCTAAATAAAGAAAATAAAACCCTGAAGAGAATCAGCATGTTATACATGGCCAAGCTAGGACCAGATGTGGTAACTGAAGAGATCAACATTGATGACGACGATTCAGCTACTGACACAGACGGCGCTGGCGAGAGTTGCATCTCAGTGCAGTGTCAGAAGCAAATCAAAGGTGGGACTCTTGGCTTAATTATTGAGCGTATTTTTTGACTCCTGATAGGTCAGTCCTTCTCAACCCTGGCGGTACATTGGAATCGTGGAAACTTTAAAAAATACTGATACCTGGTCCTACCCCCAGAAATTGTGATTTAATTGGCCTAGGGTGCAGCTTGGTTGAGAATCGTTGTGGGAGGATATAGGATCTGTGCTGTATCAGTTATTTCTTGTTTGCATTTAGACACCTTTGAAAGCTTTGTCTTGACAGAAATAGCTGGTTAGGCTATATGCTTCTTAAGAATATGGGCTGTGGGTTAAGATATTTTTGTTAAATGAAGGAATGAATGAGTAAAAATATATTTAGTGAATACCTCCTGTTTGTCTGGTTCTCTGTTGGAATCTTTGGGGAAGATTCTTTCCCAGTTTGCTTAGTCTGTGCCCTCAAAGAACTTTCCATCTGAGTCAGGCAACGAGTTATAAGGAATATGCAATATTAAACAGCTGTGTTGGCCAGCAAGTAGTGCTGTAAGGCAAGATCACATAATGTATCTATTTAATACTCATTAATTTTATTCATGCATATATATATATACACTTTGTTTATGTTAAAGACATAGGAAAGCAGTTTTTGGCTCAGTAACTATTGTAACAATTTGACTTAGTGTATGTCAAAAGCAATACTCCTTGTTTGACAGATCAAATTTCAATTGGAAGTATAAAGAATAATGGATGTTGCAAACACCATCCTTATTTAACCTTCCATCCCCTTAAACCCATTGCCTTGGAGTAGTTTCCTGCTCATAGCAACCCTACAGGAGAGAGTAGAACTGCCCCATAGGGTTCCCAAGGCTGTAATCTTTATGGAAGCAGACTGCACATCTTTCTCCCATGGAGCAGCTGGCGGGTTCAAACCACTGACCTTTCAGTCAGCAGCCGAGCACTTAACCACTATGCCACTGGGCTCCTTCCATCCCCTTAAGTAAAACAAAATAGAATTGGTGGAGGGATAAAGGAAGTTTAAAGGATTTCGTTTTGCTCAGAATTCTCCCATCTGTTAGGTCTTGAACAGTATGGCCTCTTGTTCTTCCTCAGGATTAGCCAGGCAGTGGAGAAAGTGATTTAGAAATAAGTCTCTGAGAACGTCAAGCTGGGTTCATGTTAAAAGTTGGATTTAATTTATAAATAATCACATAGCAGATTTCTTATTGCCCTTGGAGAAGGGTAAGAAATTAAAAGCAGTTAAAAATCAAGTGGCAAAACTGTAGGCCTGGGTATAAACTGAAGTACTTTGTATTAATCCATGTATATTTTTTAACATTTGAATGGTAGAAGTAACTTTAATCTAACACCGAAGCTTTTACACTTACAGTTGCTAATATTTTCATTCTATTAACACGTTTTTCATTAAATCCCAATAATAAAAAATATTAAATGAATTAAGAAACAAAACACCCACAGTTCTGGAGAGAAAATTACTAACATTAACCCTTCTTTCAAATAGGTTATGTTTTGAGTCAGTTCAAATAATGTATAAGGGCTATAAATTGGCAGCAAATCAGGATTTTTTTCTTCAAATAAAAATCTCCAAATTATTAACTGCACAATTGTTTGTTTATATTGTACTGTGACAAGAACCCATGGCCATAATGAAATAATAAAGAAATTAATACAATGCTTTAATTTGTATTGCTGAAAGCTTAAAGTCTGTTTCCAAAGTGCCAGATAGTTTTCTAGAATATAGGTTTGATAGAATACAAAGAAAACAAGATCTGGTACGTTTAGTGTAGCGAGAGTACCTGATAGAAAATTGCTACTAAACATGGCTGATGGTGGGGAGGCCCTGGCGAGATCCCATTGGCCTTTGCTCCTTCATTTCCCTTTAAATTGTTGAATAACCTTGACCGTAAGCTGTACGTGGACTGGCATTTTAAATTCTTTTGACCAGATTAATTTCTTCTTTTAAAGATAAATTTCTTTCTATTGTGCTTCCCCCCACTTACTTCTTCTTTAAAATGCAGAACTTCAAGATCAAATTGTATCTATTCAGGAGGAAAAGAAGACGTTAGCCATTGAACTGGAAAATCTCAAGAGCAAACTTGTAGAAGTAATTGAAGAAGTATGTATCTCTGGCCTGACGGCAAGACCTTTTGTGTTTTTTAAGCTGTTTGGAGACGGCTAAGTTAAAAACTTTCTGTTGGAAGCCATTTAATTTTTGATGTGAGAACCACGTGCCAATTTTAATCTTCTCTTCTCCCCCCCGTTTCAGATATACAGGCAGATATAGAAAATAAAATCATGAACATTCATGTACTAACTATCTACACTAATAAATAAGACACTAAAATAGCACTGAAATGTCCCCTGTTGTCCCCATTTTTTATGATGTGAGGCAAATTTGTGGGAAGGATAGCTACTGTTTCCAGTCATGCACTTTATTGCTGGTGGTGAAGAAGAAAGTATTTTGCTTCTCCAGTAAATGGCTGGCTCAGTGGGAGGGACTATCCCCCTGTGTACCCTCAACACAGGCGTTATACGAGAGATGATAGAATGGGTTCAAGTGAGTATTTGGAGAATCATTTTTCATTTTTGAACTGTCTTAAAGAGCAGGAACGCATCATTGCCTTTCTTTGCACAAGGCTTCAAGTAAGCTCCGTCTTCGAAATCTTGATTTAACTTGTGTCTCTAACTGAATGGCTCAAGTGGTGATCTCTATTTGGATTTTTGCATTAAAGATAGCAGGCATTTACGCTGGATGGTTAGAACACTGTCATGTTTAGGGACTAATACCAATGCCAATTGGAATATGAAAATAAACCCTGTACCAAGTGTAAATCCTATCTTAAATAGCTACCTTTGAAGAACTTTAGTAAAAGGCTAAAACATGAATCCAATTTCTCCTTTAAATTGTAACTTCATGTTGAAAGTTGAACGGCAATTTGAGTATCACACGTTGCCATATGTCATATTTCACAATTCTGGGTGTTTTTTCTCCCCTCAAATTCTCACATTTTTAGGTAAATAAAGTCAAACAAGAAAAAGCTGTTTTAAATTCAGAAGTTCTTGAACAGAGAAAATTCTTAGAAAAGTGCAATAGAGGTATGTGTTTCTGGTCTTTTTTTCTCAAATACATATGAAATTTGTTTTGTTTTGCTTATGTACATTTTGTGTTGTTTTAGGCCTCTGCCTAGATCTGGTAGCAAGAATCTCCTCTTACACTGTTTTCATAATGTCTAGCTGCAAGCCTCTCTCATTCCTATTGTTTTATCACTCATCTTAGAGTCTGGGGACATTTAAAAGTGCTTTCATTTGAGGAACTTGGAACTCACTCATTTTGAAACTTCAGAACTAAATACTGCTTCTGCCCTACCTATATCCTAGGACCATGGCCATCTGACTGCACAGCGTTTATATGTTTGGTACGTTATGTAGTGTATCTCCATCTAGAAGAGATTAGGGTTATTTACATAAATACATGCAACATGATATGATAAAATTTTAAGTTTAAGAGCATGTGGAAATTGGGACAAAGGGAAAGTGAGAGTGTAGATTGATACACAGAGTGCATTCTTGCTCTGAAGTCTTGCACAATGCCCGCCTGTGTGCCTGAAATCTGGCTCTGAGCTACCTAGGGGCCAGTGCAATGAGGGATTTATGATCACTTATATGAATCATGCAAAAAAAACACTCATTGGTCAGGAGAAGCAGACTTGGTACTAGAGTGAAAGGGAAATTTCTCCAATGGCTACTCCCAGAGAAAACTCTGATATAGGCAGAAGTGACCTTATTATTCTTATCATGAAACATCATCGAGTCTCATGGGGATGTTTCTTAGATACCCCAGTTTAGGCCAAGAGAGTGGCACCCAAGCACAAAAGCAATTCTAAGGAAGAGGACTTAGTATGCTGTTTCTTATTTCTGTTTCCTTTAGCCGCTGAAGAATGGTTTGGAGTTTAATAGCACTTTCTTTCTCCTAGTTCAGAAGCCACAACCCTAACAGGACCAGGGCCTTCCATGTTGTTACAGGTGGTGACTCTTACCCTTTTATGAATTGGGATTTTTTTTTTTTAAGTAAATAAAGGACTTTGTGGTTAAATGTGGAAGATGCACTAGACTGTAACATCTCCTCAGCTTTTTCTTCATTTAAGAAGGTAGAATTGGTGTAGGAGAATTTTTAGTTTTGATGCACCATGCTAGAAACAGAGGATTCTACAAAGATTAATTACATGGACCTTGCCTTTAGCAAGCCCCCTGTCTAGGAGAGAGCAAGATTACAGAAATAAATACACAAGTCAGTTATCTTGCCTAGGGATTCAGATAGTCATAGTCTTCTTCATGAAATTTCTTTTTTTTTTTTTTTTAAATAGGGTTGAAAATCATTTAGCTCTCAGGCACCTGTAATTCACCTCACAAACCACCACTTACGTTGCTTTACTTGCGTAAGACCGTTAGTCTTCCATCTGTGGAGGCAGTAGATTTACAGAGGACAGGGTTTGAAATTCTGGGTCATTGCGTAGCAAACCAGTCCTTAGTCAGTTAGCATTGAAGTGCTCTGGTGGAACAGTGTGTGAAAACAGCCATTAAGAGAGTCTTTTTAAAGATTTTGTTGATATGACTCAGCTCAGGTTTGAGGTGCCTCTCTGGAAACTGATGGAGAGGCTAGTGTGATAGCTGCTTATGTTGCGCCTAATTTCTAACTGCATCGTCGCTCTCTCTGGCCTGTCTGTGCCACAGAGTGGCAAACGTTGCAGGAGTTCATGTTGCTCTTGTTCGACAGGACCATCTTCTGGAAGGTTTCTGTCCCACAGTGATTATTTAGCCCTGACTCTTTGGACTTGAATGGATCCATGGTTGTTTCTCTTCTTTGAAAACATGGAGAACACGTAAAAATAACATAGTTTTTTTCTTTTTTTACTCAGGTAATACACTTTTTGGGGGTGAGAAATTTAGAAAATTTATACTGTTGCCGTTGTTAGGTGCCGTCGAGTCGGTTCTGATTCATAGCGACCTTATAGGCGGCGTAGAACTGCTTCGTAGGGTTTCCAGCGAGTGGCTGGTAGATTTGGTTAGCAGCCCAGCTCTTCCGCTGTGCTACCAGAAGATTCACATGGGAAAAGAAAAAATAAATCTCAACCTTTACAATCCAGAGATAAGCATTGTTAATGTTAGTGTCTGTTCTTCCATTCTTTAAAAAGTGCCTATATATACGTTAAACTTTTTTGTTAAATGTGTTTATAATATATATGGAAGACGAAGAGAATACCAGGAAAAAATATTTCCCTACCTGCTGGTGCCTTACAGGCCCTCGAGTGTCCGTCCCTACTCATGGCCTCCCTTGAATTTTTATCATCTCCCTTTTATTTATAGTTTTGCCAAATACATATTTATCTCCAAACAGCATTGTTTAATTTTGCATGTTTTTGAACTTTATATAAATGGAATCATTTTGCACATATTGTTCTGCACCTTTTTCTGTGTTTGTGAGATTCATCCACATTGAAGTGTGTAGCTGAGATAGTTGATTTTCCCTGCTGTGTCATATTCCATTAGGTGACTACACCAGAGTTCATTTATCTGCAGTTCTATTGGTGGATGTTTGGGTTGTTTCCAGTTTTTTGCTATTCAGAGTTTTGCTATTCAAAGTTATTCATGATTTGTTGCCTTAGCGTATGCATTCCTAGGAGTGGGATTGTTGAGTCAAAGGGGAGGAATATTTTTAGAGTTTTGATACATATTGCCAGCTTGCCCTCTAAGAAGGTTCTGTTGCTTTATATTCCAACCAGCAGTGGATGAGGGTATGAAGAATCTTCTAAACATTATTTTTCACCCATGTCCCTGATAATTTGTGTGGCATATGGTCTGTTTTCTTTTCCTCATCCTCTTCAGTATCCATGCTGGCAGTAGAAGAATATGAGGAAATGCAAGTAAACCTGGAATTGGAAAAGGACCTTCGAAAGAAAGCAGAGTCATTTGCACAAGAGGTGGGTATCTTGCAGAGATCTAGGTTTTCACTTTTTTTTTTTAAATTACTTTGCTGATGACATATCAAGATATTTTTTGAAGCTGGCTAAGAATGTATGATTTTAAATTAAGCTGATTTAGGGAGGCAGTTACAGAATAGTATCAAGTGCACTGCACTTGGAATTGGATCTGGGTTCAAATTTTGTCCATGTTAGGTACTAGTTGTATGACCTCAGTGAAGTCCCTTCGCCTCTTGGGGCTTCACTTTTCCATTTTACTTTTTATCTTTAAAATGCGTGATGATACCAACCTAACTAAATGGATTTTAGAATCAAGTGGTACAAATTTTAAAACCTGTTTTGCAAACTGCGAAGTGCTGTATAGGAGAAAGGAATTACGTTTAAGGATATCCATAACTTGTGATGGAAAGTCCAGCTTCTGCCCAGGTGCCTATGAGTTTCACATAGCCTTAAGAATCTGGGGCATGTCTCCACGTGCCGTCTCGGATAACGGTATCATGGTATCAGTATTTCTCTTCAGCTACTGTACAGTGCTCTCATTACGTGAGTTGATTCTTCCATTAGCTGTGGAATATTGCCATGTTGTGCATCCGTTAGCTCTGCCTTTCACCAGTGAAATGATTTTCCTCTCACATGAGAGATAAGTGTTGCACTTCTCGCGTTCTGGCGTACCTTTGTTGACATGCAGGCATTGGGTGTTCCATGGCTTCGGGGCTGGTTTCCTGGGAAAAGATGAGGCGCCAGCTGGCTGAACTGTAGCATCTCATGGTGTTGAGCTGACTCGCATGAGCTCTCCATTCTGTGTACCTATTTTGTAACTGTGCATACTGTGGGTTGGAGGAAAGTAGCTGAGGAAATGAAAATCAGTCCTAGGTGGAGGTGTCCGAGGTGTAGAAGGAAGACAAAGGGTGGAGTTATGGAAGAGACATTTGAAAATCAGATTATGGTTTTCTGCAGCGATCTTTCTGTGCTTCAGTGTACCTGGGCTAGCAATGAACTCTACAAAAGGTTTAGTCCAAGCAGATCTGATTTGAAATATTATGATACATTTTGTTCAGAGAGTTTAGTGAAAGGTGAGTAAATATTGTTCTCCTATTACTTGGAAGAAAGAAAAAAGAATTAAAGTATGTCTTAGCCCTCTGGAAAAACTGGCACCAATATAAATAATAGAATTAAATAAGCAGTTGGGAGGGGTGGTGGAGATACTGTGAAGAACGTTCATTGCAAAACTGAAAAGGTTGCCTAACTTTGACCCGGATGCCAGGGTCTTGCTTTGAGAGACATTTTCAGTTTTCCATCTGGTGTTTGTAGAATGATGTTAGAATACAAAGCAGCTTGAAGAAAAACTTGAAGGCCATAGCAACAGAGGAGATAGATGGAAGCAGCAGGATTCCACTAAGAATGTGAAAATGAAGATTTACTCTGCCACTCACCCGGTACGGCCTTCAGCCCTAGAGATTGGTGGAGACAATGGTGCTGATGTGTTAACCCTGAGTGAGGAGGAGGTAGAAGATAGAGGAAGGAAAGCAAATGCAGTAGCACTTATGTTACTGATAGCATGTGTGTTTGCAATGGTGTGCGGTAATTTTACGGTATCTGGAGTCACTCAGCACAGTAATGAGAAAAACCTTTTTTTTTTTTTTTTTTCATAGTAGAGCTAGATTGGAACCAGGGTGTTTTTTCTTTTCCAAGGTTTGAAAATTCTCATTTTTTAACAGATAACTACTGCTGAAAGGCACATGACTTAGTTTAACAAAAGGGGCACTGCTCTGCCGCGTTCTGTTCCTTTGTGCGCGCAGCAGGCGTTTTAGGAACCATCTGCTATATGCCAGGCACTGCGCTGGCACTGAGAATACACTGGGGAGAAAAGCAAACGTGGTCCCTGTCCTTTGGAAGCTTAGAATCTAGAGCCTTAGAAATAATTTTTTTCCAGTTAATTTATTTTAAGCTTTTAAGTAAACTAACAAAAGGAATATATATTATTGTTGTTGTGTGCTGTTGAGTCGATCCTGACTGCTAGTGACCCTGTATGACAGAGTAGAACTGCCCCGTAGGGTTTCCTAGGCTGTAATCTTTACCGGAGCAGATCACCCGGTCTTTTCTCCTGAGAGCCACTGGATGGGTTCAAACTGCCTACCTTTTGCTTAGCAGACTAGTGCTTAACTGTTGTGCCACCAGGGATCTTTCGGAATAAAAATTATAAACAATTCTCAAATGTGTAAAGTAAAAGATTTCCCCCCATTCCAATCCCACTTGTTCACTTAAAACAAAAACATGATCTCCCTCATCAAGAAGAAAACAGGCAATGTCTTCACAACTATGCTGTCTATATTTCTTTCTTTGACACAATTTAAATTTTTTAATGACTTTTGTGTATTTCTTGAGTATATTTTTCTTGCTATCGCGTATAGTTTTGTTTTAAGGTACAGATGCCTTGTTTAACATGTATCCCAATATGCATGTGGGAATATTATGTAATTGGTTCTTTTTTCTCCCCAAACAATTCAGATGATATTTCTGTGCTGTTTTGGAAAGAACGAGTTATAGATGAGTGATATAAGATCTTCTTGTTTTCATTCTTCTTTGGAAAGATTTATAAATTTTTTTCTGAAATTCTGATACCTATTTGTCTGATAGAGAAATGAAGAGACCAGCTTCATAACACCAACTAGCGAGTTCCTACCATAACTAAAAATCAAATTCATTAGCATTTGGTAACTTTGAATTCTCTTGAAATATGTCTGTAGAGAAAAAATTACGTAAAAGTATTTTGTTTTAGTATCATAAAATTTAGCAAAGTTGGTCTACTGAGTAATTTTTTTTCAAGTTACCATGCTTATTTACAACAATTTCTTTCCTATGTATTTTTTTCGTCATGTATGTTACTATTCAGGGACTTGAATATACCAGCCGCTGCTTGGAAACCCCATGGGGCAGTTCTGCCCTGTGCTATAGGGTCACTAGAGTCGGAATCAACTCAGAGGCAATGGGTTATTCCGGGACTTAGTTTTGCAAAAGAAATTCACGTTACTGCCATCCCCAGGAGTTGATACATTTCTACCCAAAATAACAAACTTGAGATAATTTATAATCATGTAAAGTTAAACACGTTTTCTTGAGTGCTACGTGGAAAAAGAGCACTAGCCTTTCTCTCAAAGAGAACCCAAGCACAGAGAAGGAGTACAGTGAGACTAATAAAGCCACCCCTCATGCTGACCTGGTACCCCATGGCCTGCTCTTCCTTGCTGGTGACTTTACCACCTCTGTCCTGGTCATCCCCGCTATCTGCTTTTTCTCTGCCTGCTCCTGCCTGTCAAGCATGATTGGTGAATGGCTTTGCTTGCTGGAAAGCTAGGGGACCCAACTTCAGCCACTCCCTGCAGGCCTGTCATGTTGACTACTTGAGGTTCTTCCTGAGACACCTACAAGGGACAGTAACTTGTCAAGTTTTAAATATTTGATAAAGGAATTACTGTAGTAATCAGGAATGGTTCATTTTAATTAGATCATTGGTCTAAAATTTAAGATACTATGAGCCCTGGTGGCACAGTGATTAAGCATTCAGCTGCTAATCAAAAGGTCGACAATTCAAATCTACTAGCCACTCTTCGTTGCTATGAGTCAGAATCGACTCGACGGCAATGAGTTTGTTTTTGTTTGTTTGTTTTATGATGAAATATTGATTATTGTTTCCTAATATGCTGAAGCCTCCAATCTCACTCTTTTTGAGCCTAACACGCACGCTTGCACGCTCACTCATGCTCTCTTTATTGCTCGGTCTCACAAAGAAATGCGGAGTCAGGTGAAAGAAAAATGCAGATTTCATTTAACATTCTGTTAAGAATCTGAAAATGTGAAGCTATGCTATAAACTGATCCTAATTTCACACATTGTAAAACACTTCACACTTGGATTACCCATTGGCCAACTTCTGTTAGGGAAAAGAAATAATAGATGAATAGAAAATAGTGTTGTTTTCAATCATGTAACGTTGTAAGGATTAAATGAATATGTAAATTGCTTAATAAGTGCTCAGTAAATTTTAGTATAACTTCTCTCCTTTACCCACCTACTGTTAACTACTTACACTGTTGAGTTAGTTTAAAGCAAAACTTTAGGTCTAGTGAATAGCGAATGTGATCAGCCAGGTGGTTAAAACATGGGTCTTGTAAATCAGACAGATCTCTGGTTTGGCCACTCTGTCCTTGGGAAAGTTGCTTAACTCCTCTGAGCCTCAGTTACCATATCAGTAAAATATGGGTGATAATAGTATCCGCTTACAAGGTTGTTCTAATGATTAGGTGATAGAATGAATATAAAGCAGTTGCAGTAGTATATCAGGGAACTCCCAGAAGTTCAAGCTGGACTCAGAAGAGGATGTGGAAGGAGGGATATCATTGCTAATGTCAGATGAATCTTGGCTGAAAGCAGAGAATACCAGAAAGGTGTTTACCTGTGTTTTATTGGCTATACAAAGGCATTTGGCTGCGTGGCTCATAACAAATTATGGATAACATTGTGAAGAATGGGAATTCCAGAACACTTAACTGTGCTCATGCGGAACCTGTACATAGACCAAGAGGCAGTCGTTCAGACAGAACAAGGGCATACTGTGTGGTCTAAAGTCAGTAAAGGTGTGCATCAGGGTCGTATTCTTTCACCGTATTTATTCAATCTATATGCTGAGCAAATAATGCGAGAAGTTGGACCGTTTGAAGAAGACAGCATCAGGATTGGAGGAAGACTCATTAACACCCTACGATCTGCAGATGACACAACCTTGCTTGCTGAAAGTGAAGAGGACTTGAAGCACTTACTCATGAATATCAAAGACTACAGCCTTCAGTATGGATTACACCTCAACTTAAAGAAAACAAAAATCCTCCCAACCAGACCAATAAGCAATATCATGATAAATGGAGAAAATATTAAAGTTGTCGAGGATTTTATTTTACTTGAATCCATAATCAGTGCTCATGGAGGCAGCAGTCAAGAAATCAAACAACGTATTACATTGGGCAAATCTGCTGCAAAAGACCTCTTGAAAGTGTTAAAAATCAAAGATGTCACTTTAAGGACTAAGATGTGCCGGACTCAAGCCATGGTATTTTCAGTTGCCTCTTATGCATGTGAAAGTTGGACAATGAATAAGGACGACTGAAGAAAAATTGATGCCTTTGAATTATGGTGTTGGCAAAGAATATTGAATATACCGTGGACTGCCAGAAGAACAAACAAATCTGTCTTGGAAGAAGTACAGCCAGAATGCTTCTTAGAAGCAAGGATGGTGAGACCTCATCTCACATTCTTTGGACATGTTATCAAGAGGGACCAGTCCCTGGAGAAGGACGTCATGCTTGGTAAATTAGAGGTCAGTGAAAAAGAGGAAGACCATCAATGAGATGGATTGTCACAATGGCCCCAACAGTGGGCTCCAACATAACAACGATCGTGAGGATGGCATAGGACCTGGCAGTGTTTCATTCTGTTGTACACAGGGTTGCTATGAGTTGGGACCGAGTTGATGACACCTAACAAAAACAGCAATTATTATTAGTATTAATGTATTTTGAAGCAATAATAAAATAATAAAACTGAAGTTTGGGACTAAATTATTGTGTATATATACCTTGTTGAGGGCCGGGGTAAAGGTACCAAAGACTGTATAAAAGTTATGAATGAAATTTTAGCGATTACTACTTCTAAAACTGTTATGCTGTACAATTCAGAAATTGTCTTTAACTTTTTAATAAAAATTCCATGTACTTTTCCTTTTGCTCAAGTTATAGTTGGGTAGCTATGTGGGATTGTTTGGTTTATACTTTTTCATAATTAACTTTTGCAGATGTTCATTGAACAAAACAAGCTAAAGAGACAAAGCCACCTTCTGCTACAGAGCTCTGCTCCTGACCAGCAACTTTTGAAAGCTTTAGATGAAAATGCAAAACTCACCCAGCTCCTTGAAGAAGAGAGAATTCAGCATCAACAAAAGGTACTATTAGATATTCTTCTGGCGTCTTAAAGATACATGTATATTCAACCCAGTCATTTGTAATTCCATATTTTGCCTTAGTTACTAATTCCTTCCAGGGATCTTTTAGGAAAAAATTTAGCAAATGGACCTGATTTAATGCTCAACTAAAATTTATTGTACACGATTAGACTTCATGATGATCCTTAAGCTGTTCAAAGGATCAGAAGAAGTAAAGGAAAGAGAGATGACTCAGAAAGAGCTTGGGTAATGCATAGTTTGGAAATCTGTGAGCTGATTGTGTTTTTTGGGGACTGCATACGCTAGAAGGGTATATTTGTCTCAAAAAGCTTGCGTGAGGGCATAGGTTTTATTCAGAGAGGGAGGAAAAGAAAATTCTACGTTAGTAGTAATTGTTTGCTTGGGATAATTTCTGATTTTGTAAACTTGCACAAATGTGTATATTTAAAGACTTCCTAAGTGGTTATTTTAATTTGTATGAGTGGAGCTATTCCAGCTGACACAGCCTACCTCTGTGTGCTGGGGAGGAAAAGATAGGCATTGTGGTAGGTGGGAGAGGAGGGGAGGCAAAGAGGTGGAACAAAGACTTTCAAATTAAAGAAACCACTTAAGAAAAATTACATCAATATTTATGCTGCTTACAACATACCTAGCTTGTGAAGGAAAGGCTGTTAGCTGCTATTTGTTATCACCTGTCAAAGTTTCTTTCAGCAGCAATATTGACATTTAATTTTTGGATGTTCTGAAGTTTGTTTACAAAGTTGTTGGTGAGGTAGTGTTGATTTTTTTTTTTTTCCTCCTTAATAAGAAATGCTGGTGTATGTGTAGAGTACCTCTGAATGGATAGGCAAGAAGCTGGTAACAGTGGTTGCCCCTGGAAAAGAGGACTAGGGAACAGCATGGGACCAAAGGAGTTTCTCTCCCCCCACCCCCGCCATGTGCAGGAATAAGAGTTTGACCGCTAACCGAAAGGTCAGCAGTTCAAATCTACCAGGCGCTCCTTGGAAACCCTGTGGTGCAGTTCTACTCTGTCCTATAGGGTTGCTATGAGTCAGAATCGACTCGGTGGAAATGGGTTTTGGGTTTTAGGTGCAGGAAATACCATTTCAAATAAAGAGAGAAAGAAAGAATGTGCTTTTTATTCAGCTTATCTAGAATTTAGCTTTTTGTTCTGAAAAGTCCAACTACTTGCAGTTAACTCATTTAGTAAATGATACATGCCTGTAACCTACTGAATCGAACTAAGGTGTAGGGCTAAATTATTGTGTATGTACCATGTTGGGAGGAGCCCTAGTGGCACAGTGGTTAAAGCACTCTGCTGCTAACCCTGAGGTTGGCAATTTGAACCCGCCAGCCGCTCCACGGGAGAAAGATGTGGCAGTGTGCTTCCGTAAAGATTTACAGCCTTGGAAACCCTACGGGGCAGTTCTACTCTGTCCTGTAGGGTTGCTCTGAGTCAGAATCGACTTGACGGCAGGGAGTTTGGTTTATACTTTATTGGAGCATGGGTAGAGGTACTGAAGATTGTATATAAAAAGTTATGAGTGAAATTATAGCAATCACTACTTCTAAAACTGTTGTACTATATAATCATTCTGGATACTCTTCTCATTTGTGTGGTTTAAAATATTTCTTACCTGTCTGTAAATTCCCTTGCAGATTCAACAGTCTTTTAAACGTAGCTCTTGTGTATTGTTTTTGTGATTTTAAAAATAATATACGCTCATTGTAAAAAAAAGAGGTTTAAAAAATATAGAAAAACTTAAAGAAGAAAGAAAGTTGAGATTACGCAAGAATCCCATATTTTGGTCATATCCAAAGTATGTAAATATATGTTATGAATACATGTATATGTATATATATGTGTGTGTGTGTGTATATATATATATATAGAGAGAGAGAGAGATAAAATGGAGTGATGACAAGCATATTGTTCTATCATCTGATTTTTCAATTGATAATGTATTTTCCCATGTCAGTGTGTAGTGCGCTATGTGATTTAAAATGGTTTCATAGTATTTCATTTAATGGACACACCGTAATTTATCAAATCAGTAAAATTTATATCGAGTCAAGTAGCTGATAACTACTTTAAGTATCATCTTTATCCCAGAATTTGCGTGGTTTTTAAGATGGACAGTTATCTCTTTGCTGTGAAGTGCAAAATGAAAGGGAAACAATTATTTTTTCCCTCTCTTTTCCTTGACAGAGGGAAAAGTACCAGCATATAAAAGCTTGCTTATAACTTACAGGTCAAAGAATTAGAAGAACAACTAGAAAATGAAACACTCCACAAGGAGATCCATAACCTCAAACAGCAGCTGGGACTTCTAGAAGAAGATAAGAAGGAGTTGGAGTTGAAGTATCAGAATTCTGAGGAGAAGGCCAGAAATTTAAAGCATTCTGGTAAAAGCATTGAATAGGCTACTGTGTCTTACTGTTAAGTTGTGACTCTCTCATGTCCGGTTCAAAACCTGGCATACAGTTAGCCCAGGACATTTATGAATGCTGTTGAGAAATATCAAGATTTGTTTTTAAATTGCTTCATTTTTAACTATTGTAATTTACTAGAGTGGCCACTGTAAATCAGATGAGTCACAAATATTTAGACTTCTCTTTGCTCTCAGAGCCTTTGTTAGCATCGCATGCAGAATTGAGAGACAGAGATACCATTGCCCTGGGGATGCCAAAACCTTCAGCACTTCCCAGTTCCTTAGAGAAGAGTGTTCATTAAGTACTTACTTTATTGCATTCACTTTAGGGTGCATTTTAAAAAAGAATTAAACTTTTTAAGTTTAAACTACCTTCATCTTTGGTGTCTAATTATACACATGAAATAATACTTTCAATATCACACCTAACAATACATCGGGCAACAATATATGTATTAAATGGAAAAACTTTTATAACACCAGGGGATACTTAAATCAAAGGATTTATTCATTCGGTTCTAGAAGGCTTACCAGGAATCTGAGAGTTAGATTACCACATAGGCATAAGTAATAAGTTTCTGCTGGAAGGCAGGTAATTTAAGGAGGCAGGCCATTCCCTTTATAACAGCTTCAGTATTCACTTCAGATATTTTTGGTTAATTTTATACTAGAATTTTAAAATCCATGCAGAAGAACCATGTAGGCTTTTTTCCTTTTAAAAACATTCAATGCTTTCTAATCTATGATGAAAATTGATTGGAATTTATTTCTTAAAAATTGATTTAACATCAAGAAGTCGTCCATTGTTTTCAGTGAGTAGTGACTATCGGGGCAGCCGGTAGGCAGGCAAAGCTGTCTGTATTATGCAGGAAGCGGGGCAGGCACTAGAGATAGTTTGAAGTTCAGTTGTGAACGTGTTTATTTCATACCTGCTATCTGAGCTACCAGCCCTACTCTGGGATGCTATAACAAACACAGAAGAAAAGAAACCATACCTTCTGCTCTCAAGGGACTCAAATTTCCTCTGGAGAGATGGACCCATGCATATGGAAGTAACTAGAGGATTCTTAGTGCCAAAAGCATAGCCCACACTGCCTGTTTAAGTAGTGAAGGTCAAAACCAATGGACAGGTCAGTGGGAAGTCATGCCAAATGGAATGGCTGTGGAGCTAGCTCCTGAGTACAGACACAGAGTACTCAGTAACTATAGTCCATTCACCCATATTATAGGTATTTGAATCTATGATATAAATTTAAGCTCCTTGGAGGCAGGAAGTGTGTCTTGGATAGCACCAAGTATAGGCTCTTTCACATTGTTGGTACTTACTAAATGTCTGTTGAATTAGTAACTTGAATGAATGAATCGAGTGAATAAGTTACATCTCCAGAATGCTCTTTAAAAGTGCAACAAGCTTCTGAGTTACAAACATTTGGGAGCCTGAGTAAATTTAACATAATGAATAAATACGGTAAGATGGTTAAAATCAAGGACTCTAGTATTTACAGTTTGTGAAGGAAATTAAGCGGGGGAGGGAAGTATGCAACTATTAAAATTCACTTTTAAATGTTATCTTTACAATCAGTTCTTAGTCTGTCCACTTTTAAAGTCAAGTATGAACAATTTCTTAGTGTTTGAGTAGTGTACTGTGTTGTTACAAATATTTCTTCAACCTACTCAGTCCTTATTCTCCCATTCATTCACTCAGCCATCATCTTGAATTTTTTTTTTCTTTTCTGTAGTTGTATCTATAGCAGATGGTATTTTTTTCTTTTAACAGATGGAAGGCCTCTCTTGCATTAGTAATAATAGACTAGAGAAAAAATTCTACAGTTTCATATTGAAATTTCTAACTTTGTCTTGATAAAAAGTACTTGATGTTGAGAGAGGTTTTTTTTTTCCTATGTGTGCAGAAAACATGTTCAGTTCTTATTTCAGCTCTCTTCTGAATGCTTGCTCTCTGTACAGTTGATGAACTCCAGAAACGGGTGAACCAGTCTGAGAACTCAGTACCTCCACCACCTCCTCCTCCACCACCACTTCCCCCGCCACCTCCCAATCCTATCCGGTAAGCACATCCAGGAAGACTGTTCTGCATCAAAGGTTATTCTCCATCAGAGAACCTGAAATTTATGTCAATGGTGTCCTTTTTTTTTTTTTTTTAATACTGGCTTACACTGCGTTATTAAACCAAACCAAACCTGTTGCTGTAGAGTTGATTCTGACTCATAGCAACCCTATAGGATAGAGTAGAACTGCCCCATAGGGTTTCCAAGGAGCAGCTGGTGGATTCGAACTGCCAACCAGTTGGTTAGCAGCCGTAGCTCGTAACCACTACAGTACCAGGGCTCCATTGCGTCATTACAGGGTCAGTAAAAAGTATGAATGATGTCATCTAGTGTTTCCCTCAGAGAACTTTCAGAAGGCCAGTGAATACAGTAATGAACATATATAATGAATACTCCCTTCTGGTTATAAATTCTTGGGGCCTACAGTGTTCTTCTGCTATAAATGTTCAGATTCCATGTAGATGTTCTGAACAAAGGAGCTAGACTTTTTTTTCATCTCACGTACTCTACTTTCAGAAGTCTAGTTCATGACATTTAGGATTTCCTTTAACTAATACCAAGGAGTTTTGAGCTTCTCTGGAATGTTTTTATCTTTTTCTCTCAATAATTTGAATTTGAAAAACTCCCATTTGGCCAATTATTTTTAAAATAAAAGTGCTAAAGTGCTAATTATCATAAACTAATACTTAACTAAAAGTACTGATAATTTTTTTTATCCCTAACCTCATATTTAAACCTTTAAAAATGCTGAGAGAGGAACCTTCCATAGAAAGAGGAATGAATGATGTTTAAATTCTTGCAACAGGAAATCATATATGTAGACAGGAAGGAACTTTTTTCTGAAGGCCAAGGTGACTTGATGGTACTGAATGCCTGACTTCCACACAAGACATACTGGGAGGAGACCTAGGGTCAAAATTCCTGCCTTCTTTGTCCTTCTGCATTCCACCATTCACAATTCCATAAGACAACCCCTGTGTCCTGGTGACAGCTTACCGCCTCGTGTCATGATGCCAGCTGCTTCTGTATAATTTATTCTTGAACAAATGGCATTTAAACTTTTGCTGGACTTTTACCTTTCATTAACTCATGTGATTTGTTTAATCCTTTCACACAGCGAGGCCATTTATTCGTACTTTGCACCTTTGCTGATCCATCTGAATAGAATGTGTAGTGTGTTCCTCCCACACAACTATGAAAATGGGACTTTGCCTTTTAAAAAGATTCTCATTAGTTTTCCTTACTGAGTAGGGTATGACATAATCTACTTTAAGCCATTGAAGTATTTAAGGCAAAATAATTTTTACACGTGATCGATCCAAGACTGAATTGGAAGAATTTCAGTTATTTTTAATTCTTTCTCTCCTGGGTAGCGAAGTCTGTAGGAGATAGTCTGAATTTGACATTTAAAACGGGAAATTCATCACTTTGATCTTTCTGCGAAGGTCTAGAATTTTGAACTGATAAGAAAGGTCACTTCTGTCTGTGATGGGGGAGAACTATTAAAAAGAGATTACAGTCTTAATGTTGGCCTTTAATTTTTAGTTTCAGAAGCCTTGAGGTCCTCTGGAATTAAAAGTTAAGTATAACCTAAATGGAAATTTTTCCCAAAGAGCACTTTACAGTTAAACTGAGAAATGAATGTGGGATTCAGAACTGTGGATGTCTAAAGCATGGACTCTTTTTTAAGGCTCTTTAAAGAAAAATTTCATTGAATTATGTGAATGATTTTTATTTGAAGGTGAATTTAAACAATATAGGACATAATTTTTCCATAAAAAGAGTTTTTTAAAAAAAATTTTTTGGGTACGGAGTGCTTTCTTCTCTAAGAATATATTTGCATATGTACTGCATTTCAATGGACTTCAGATCCACTGATCAGGATTTTCCAACTTTATTACTGAGCAATTTATTTTACCCTGATGTGGATCATGGATAGAAGTGGAAGTAGAGGGAAAAAAAGACAAGGGCTTGTGGCTTTACTGCTTTTCCCTCCTCTTTCTACTCATTTAATCTAGAGGACAGGTTGGAGAGAGAATGGAGGAAGGAGGCCTGCCTTGGTCATTTTGTACTAGTGTAGTGAAAGAAGTACAGGTTCTGGGCAGGTGTGGTTCATGGGGAGAGGGATGAACACTTCTCAAAGAACTCTGAGGTGAAAATTATCCACTGAATGGTTCCATCTTGGAGTGGCACTTGCTTGAAGCTTTTATCCATTCAACTGAATATGGCTGTGAAATGGGGCAGTGATGGCCAGAGGTTCAGATTATTGGCCTCAGATGTCTTGTCCTAGTTTCTCATCTGTCCTGTGAGGCCCACCCCATTTATTTTCTTGATACTCTAAGCCTCGTCTTGACAGATGGTTCTTTTTTAATATTACAGATGATTTTTCTCTGGGCACAGAATCAGTCTCCAACCTATGCTTCGACTCAGAACATTTTAAACTACCATTTTCTTTCACTTAGCTGGTTTACAATGATGTAAACATATAAATACATGTAAATATATAAATATCTGAGCAGCGCAAATAACATCCTGCTTTGTAATCTTTACGTACAATACGGACTCTCAGAGTTTCCTCTCAGAGGTGGCGTCATTAGAGAGTGTTGTGTGAGGGTAAGGAGAGGCCTCTGATTAGTGAGTTGCTGTTGTTGTGCCGTTGAGTCCATTCCAACTCACAGCGACCCTGTAGGACAAAGGAGAACCACCCCATAGGGTTTCCTTGGCAGATTGCCAGGTCTTTTCTCCCAAGGAGCAGCTGGGGGATGGGGTTGAACCACCAACCTTTAAGTGAGCAGCTGAGCTCTTAACTCTTGCACCACCAGGGCTCAAATGCCACCCTATAATGGAATGGTAACAAGTAGACATGGGATACTCCTGGCATTCAGTTGACTGAAATGAAAAATGAGCAAATACAGTTTACATTATTCCATTCTTCATACTTCTAGAATAAAATGCGCTATTTCAAAGGTCTGTGTAAATGAGAATTTCTAACTTTTGTGAAAATAATTTACTTCCCTTTTGGGTCATTATGAGCTCAAAGAAGGTAAACTAGATGAAGTCAAAAGCTCAATGCTTGATTGTTTCCCAGTTGATAAGGCCTGAGAACTTCACAGGGTAGAAAAGGATGGGTTTTCTTTTTACTGTGCTTTGTGGAAGGTTGACCAGTTTGTTTGGGAAGCCAGTGTGTTTGCAAATTTTAAGAAAAGGCCATTAGAAAAGGATTAATACTATAACCAAAGGAGTAGAAGTGAGAAGGAAAAAAAAAATCTAAAAATTACAATGATTAAGACACCTCAGATTACGTCCTTAGAGCCAGTATTTCTCTGTATGTCTATTTGTCCCTTTTCTAGAGACAACATCATGCCTTTCCTATCCTCCAAGTATGTTTTCCATTGCTAGCTTCCCACCTTGTCTTCTTCAGGAATGTACTTTGTCAAATCCAGTTCACCACACTGAGGACATTTACAGTGGAGTTGAAAGGACTCAGCAATTCTTAATTTGCTTTCTTTTGTAAATTTTTTTTTTGGGGAACATCCCATGTAATCACCATCCAAGTCAAGAACTAGAACAATACTGGTACCCTGTGTATTCTTTCCCCAATATAACTCCCTCCCAATCAATCAATCAGTCTGTCTCTCTTTATATATGTATCATATATACGTGTGTGTGTGTATATATATATACACACATGTATATGTATGTATGCCTGTTTTTGAACTTTACATAATTCAGAATTTACTGTATTCATTTGTATCGTGCTCTTTTCACTCTACATTATTTTGTAAAATTCATCCATGTTATTTTATAAAATCGAAGTTCATGTTCATTGCTGTATAAACCATTTTATGAATGTCCCAACATTTATTTATCCATTATGGTGCTGAGGGATATTTGGGTTATTCCCAGGCCAGGACAGCTATGGAAATTCTACATGAGCATTCTTGTACGTGTATTTTGGTACACAAGTTCTCATATTTCTGTAATTTATATAGAGGTGGAATTGCTGACTCTTAGTATATGTGCTGCTTCAGCTCTGCTAGATAATGCCAAACAGCTTTGCGAAGTGGTAGTACCAGTTTAAGGAGCCTGGTGGCATGGTGGTAAAGCGCTTGACTGCTAACTGAAGGTCAGCAATTCAAACCCACCAGCCACGGGAGAAAGATGTGGCAGTTTGCTCCCTAGCAAATCCTGTGAGTTAGTTCTTGGTCCTGTAGGGTCGCTGTGAGTCAGAATCGACTCGATGATAAAGGGGGAGTACCAATTTATACCAGTTATAGCAGTTTATTCCTGTTATTCCACAGTCCCACCAGCATTTGATATTGTCAGACTCTAAATTCTGTTTGATGAATGTGTAGTGGTATCTCAGTGTGGTTGAATTTGTGTTTTCCTGATAACTAATGAGGTCAAGCACCTTTTTTGTGTGTGTGTTGATAACTGGACATCCTCTTTTATGGCCTGTTTAAGGCTTGTGTCATTTTTCTCCTGGGTTGTCTGCATTTTCTCATTGATTTGCAGAATTTCTTTATATATTCTGCAGCTTATCTTTTTATTCTTTATGGTGTCATTTAATATATGGAGGTTTTAAAACTTTAATGTGGTCAAATTTTTCATGATTTGGATTTAGATAGATTTTTAGTACATGGACCAGAAAAACAGTGGTCGAAATATACCTTATCCCTAAGTATTTGATCTGTTTGATGCAGATTCAGATTTTTTCATGCCCATATTTCTCAAATAGATAGACTAAAACTTACAAAGCTTTTTTATATGAAACCTCCCCTGATTTTTTTATCCTTCCTTCTCCCTCAGGCGTGTTACATAGATAGCTATTGGTTATTTGTGAATTTTAGATGCAGATATTGGAGTTTTTTCTGTATGCATTTTACTTTGTAAGTGTGTATGCATTGAATTAGTGATGGTAGCAGTTACCTCCATTGAGTATTTAGTGTACTTTTACACAGAAAGAGATAAGACATATTTCTCTTCCTTAATGTGATTTCTGTTAAAAATGAAGTGTGGGCTACTTAAATCCTAGTTATGCATTCAAATGCGCCTGGAGAACAGTTGGATTTTTACTGATTATTTAGAATCTCTACATTTTATTTCTTGGATTATGAGACATCCAGTGATTTCCTGTTCATCTTTCTCTTTCTCCCAAAGATCTCTCATGTCCATGATCCGGAAACGATCCCACCCCAGCGGCAGCGGTGCTAAGAAGGAAAAGGCAGCCCAACCAGAAACAAGTAAGCCCCCCTCCGCTCGGTTTACCTTCAGCAGTTGATGATGTGTAATTTTTCAGCATTTAACACATACATGTATTGAGTTCTTTGACTATGAACAGATTGTCAGAGGAGAAGTGTGAACTTAACAGCTATAAAAACGAACCAAATACAGTCATTGCCTTCATGTAGCTTATTGTGTAGAGGAGATAAACGTGAACACACCACTGTAATGTGAGGTGTACTGGAAAATGTGTTTTAATAAAGGGACAAGTTGCTGTGGGAGTAGAAGGGAGAGAGAGGGAGTAATTCCAAACGAGGTATTTGGGAAAGGCTTCTTAGAGTTGGAGCCTTGGTGGCCCAGTGGTTAAGAGCTTGACTGCTAACCAAAAGTTTGGCAGTTTAAATCTACCAGCTGCTCCCTGGAAACCCTGCGGGGCAGTTCTGCTCTGTCCTCTGGGGTTGCTGTGAGTCAGAACTGACTCAACGGCAACGGGTTTCTTAAGAGTTGGTAGCAAGTGAGACTATCAAGCACCTACTATGTGTCAGGCTTTATGCTGTGTACTGGAGATATAAGAGATAGAGGTTATATTGTGAGGGAGACAGGAAGTAAACAAGCAACTATCTAATTCAATATATAATTATTTAAGTACAATTTTTGATGAGCGCAGTGGAAGAGGAGTACAAGGTTCTAAGAGCTTATGGAGGTGTACCACTGATGTCTGAAATTGATGTTTAAGCCGAGTATTTGTAGATTTAAAGTCGAGGGGCAGGTTTTTAGGGTAACAGCAGTTCAGATAGAGGGGCCGCAGATTCAAAGACCCAGAGTGGGGAAGGAGCTTGTCATATTATAGAAACTGAATGTTGGTGTGGCTAGAACACATGGTTTGCAAGAGAGGAGGTCTGATAGTTAGGCAGGGGCCAGATCCTGGAGAGCCTCAGAAGCCATGCTCAAGGTCCTGGAATTTATCCTGAGGACAGTAGAAGTGTTTTTGTTTTTTTGTTTTTTTTAAATCTCTCTCTCTCTCTCTCTTTTTGTTTATTGTTGTAGTTTAAGGGACAGTAGAAGTTTAAAGCAATAGTGTGACATGATGAGAATCACCCTGGCTGCAGTGAGAGAACAGAGAACAGACTAAAGGGATAAGAGTGGATGGGGCGAGACTATCGCAGTTGTTCAGATGAAAGTTGACAGAGACTTAGATGAGGGGGAGCAGTAGAGACAGAAGGAAATGTATAAATTCAGGAATTATTTAGGGAAGTAAAATCGATGAGACTTTGGAATCTGTTGAGAGGATAATCCGAGGAGATGGGAATGGAGGGAGAACAGCCTTCTTGCTGAGCAGAGGCACCAGGTGGCTAAGAGCAATCAGTTCACAGAGCCAAGAGTAGTTTGGTGCATAGCCACAGTGAGGGCAAAAACTTGAATGCTGGGGCCAGGTCTCAGTCCTTTGTGCTGAGAGCTGTAGAACCCAAATTCAACCCAACAATGTTTGCTCAATGCCTACTACGTACAAAGCATGGTGGATTTGCCTGGTTCAAGCCCAGACTGGTGAAAGCTTCTTTTTGGCCCCTCTTCCTGCCTCTAGGTGTCTTGGTCCAGTCCAGCCACTTCTACATATCTGGCAGTGTGACACTCTGAGATCAGAGGTCTAATCACATTCTCCTACACCTCATGCCATTTCCATGCTCCTTACTGCATCCAGATAGTCCAGACTGTAGTCTGCTTATAGAAGGTTCTCTGCTTTTACTTACAGCTTCATTTCTCATTACATCTGTCCAGCCCCTCGTGGCTGGGCACTAACCTCTAAGGCCTCTGTGCATTTGCTGCTGTTTTCACTCCATCCAGAATTGCCTTCCTGCCCTTCCTCTGGTTAGAGCCTCCTCCTTAGGCAAGGTGCTGGTCTAATGCCATTTCCCCTCTGCAGATTCCAGCCAAAGTACCTGTGTGAACCACACTCCTCCTCCTCCTCCTTCTATTTGCTAGTGTTTACTAATAATCCAAAACGAACGGCTCATTGCTGTGTGTTGCTATAGCATTTTGCTTCAACTGCTATTACAGTGTGGATTTAATGTCTTCTCATCCTGCCCCCTGCCCTGGTGTGATTTCCACATCTCTTCCCCTGAATGGATTGCAAGTTCTTTGAGGGTTTGCTCATTGCCATAGCCTCTCTCGGCTTTCACATATATTGAATGAAGTTTGGACTTGGTGTTTTCTTTCCTAGCCAGGCACCTTCCAGCACCATTTCAGACAGAGCTGTTTGATTTCACCTGTAGTTTCTGTGCCTACCTCCTGCAGTCTTTTGTTGTCCTTCCTCTGAACAGCAGTGGGGCTGAAAGGCAAATTCTGCTTTGCACAAGGCATTGCTGGATTCAGAAGCAGTCCTGCATTTGGTGATTTGCAGGGCAGCCTGGATCCTAGTTTTACTCTCAGCTTCCCCTGACACCATAATTTCAATGTTGCTTGTTTCAATCTTGTTTTTGGACAATCAGCATGTTTTAGAGGGTCAGGGAGGCAGTCAGAAGGAAATGATTTTTCCCGTGAAGTGGATTCCATTATCAGTTTGTCATCCTCAACCGTCCCCTTAAATAAAAAAAAGATTCTAGAACTTCTCAATCCCCAGTATTACGAGCCATAGCATTTTCCTTACAAAAATGATATTTCATTTACAGTTCATGAAATGTGGCAGTATTTTCTCTGATATCCTTGGGCTATTGGATTGTTATTTTGAGACTCTACACAGAGATACTGACACGGAAGTATAATTCTCTGTTGCTCAAGGAATTTTAGTCGAGCAGCCCTAAATCATACTTCCCTCATGGATGTGTACTGGAGCAGCATTGCTGCCTGGAAGGCATTATTTCTAGTGTCTTGTTCATAGCTCACACTGAAAAATAGTTGTTGAGTGAGTAAACCAACCATAATTAAATCCATGATGAACCCGTGTAGAGTATCCCCCACTGGCATCACCTGTGACTCTGACGGGCGTGCATTTATGACGCAGGGCCCAGTCTCGCTCTCACTGTGTTTTCGTCCTTACGGTGACATCTTATGATGGCTCTTAATGTATAGTTGGTATGCTTTTCAGAGCATATGAGGGGAAACTTATTGCTCGGTTATGGCTCTTTGAACGCTTGATTGTGGAGAAAGTCTGTGGAACATTTTAGAAGTAGTTGTAAGGTCTGAATGTAAGAAATCATTTCAAACTTTGAAGTTAACAGCTCTAATCTTGACACCAGTGCATTTGTTGGGCCAGTTCTGGGACTCGGAGGTATATGCCTGCTGTTTACCACACGTTTCAGCCATGACTTTGTTGGTATTTTCTTACCTCTGTGACTCAGTTTGCTCATCTGTAGAGTGAAGTTGTAATCGTTGTACCAGTGTCATGGGGTTGTGAGAACTGAGGAGTCTCACAGCTTGAAAAGCATTTAGAATAGTACCTAGCACATAGAAAATACTCAAAATGCTAACTTAAAAAAGAAAAAAAAAAAGGAAAGGTACCTGTCACCCTCTGCAGGATGGAGGGGAGCCTCTTTCTGCAGGTTCTTGTGATTACTGTAGCTAAGAGAATTGCCTTAACTTTAGGACCATAGGTCGCTTCAAACTTATTCAGCCATAATGTGCCCTTAGAGATCTTATACATCATGGTAGAATAAGATTTTTTTAATGCCTTTTTAAGAATATTAGTGAAAGAGACTTAATTCCTGTGGAATTTAAAAAATCATTGCAGTTTCTGCTAGGTAACAACCAAAGGCTTTTCTGAGCAACGCGATGATGGTTTTGTCTGTGGGTCTTTTTTTTAATTTTAAGGAACTCACTTATTTTTTAAGTGGGTCTTAAAATTTAAGCCTCGTTTAATTACACGTAGCTTTCTGATCCAAGGCTGACCTTGAAGCACTAACTCAAAGAACATTTGATTTTATTTTCCTGTGGCAGTTCAATAACATTAGACCTGTCGTCTTCATTTGTCCCTTTGCTTTAATCTCCAGTATCCTGCATATTTCCATTGTCCCCCTGATTACATGCCTTTGTGAGACAATTACTAACTGTGTGATTGTAGAAAGAATTGCAAACATACCATGAGCTCTCTGTAGGCGATTCTTGCCGATTTATTAGAACTGCTTAATAGTTTGGAAGTTCATATAGATTGCTTTTTGCTAGTTCAAAAACAGGTTTGGCCCAAGAGAAGGCTTGTGTAGCTAGCATCGCCCTTGTATTGTGCCTGAGTCGGGAATCTGATAAGAGCGATTTCTTTTCCTTAAAACCAATTAAGCTTTTACATTTGAAAAAAGGCTGAGAAATTAAAGCCTGGTTTATAATCTGTCCACAATACAGATAGTGGCACTTCTCTGAATTATCACTGTGATTCTGGCAAGCAAATATAAAAAACTACTTTAAATTCCTGCTATGTTAGATGCTGTAGCAGATTTGAATGGTGTTGACCATAATTCTCCATCTGTCTGCCTTAATTAGTTTTTGTATGGTGCATTTAATTGGGTTTCAGTCATTCCTTACAGAGTGCTAATCTGTTTGTAGGCGGTGTTCCTATCGCCATTCAGCGCTTCTCAGTCCCACTCAAAATGGCAGCCTTTCTGAAAATCAGATGTTTTTTGAAGATATTTTTTAAATTCCCTTGAATGAATCCCATACCCATACCAGGTGCCTGAATGGCAGATCTGGGTTTTGTAGCTCCTGATTATGGATAGGATCAGCAAAAGCACTTTGTAGTGCAGACTGGGTATTCAGATAAGATGGAACGAATGTATGAATGAGTGTATGAATTTCCTCCCGTAGTAATTACCTTGTGTGTCCCCTTGTTGATGTTTGTGAGCCATCAGCAGAAGTTGCCCAAGAACATGCTACTTATGGGCACATGGTTGATCAACCCACATTTTTGCCTTTCATTTGCTGGTGGATGAGTTCTTACTTTGGTGGCCATATTTCCCACATTGCCTGGCAAAATATACTGTTTTGGGGTCCAGAAATGTTTGGATGTTGAAAAATGTTAATTCTCAGCATTTCAACGGCTTGTGAAGACGACTAAAGCAGTATTTGAAGTCAGGACGATATCAGAAAATCTAGGTTGTACGGTAAATGAATGCAGCAGGGATCCCATCACTGTGGGGCTGCAGAGATGAGGATAACTTTCTGGACTCTCTTAGTTGCTCTTCCAGGCACTTGTACAGGAGGAGTGACTGCCCAGGATTAGAGTGAAGTTGGCCATGTCGCAGAAAAAGAAGCTATGATTTAAGCCTCCTTGACACAAAGCCTGATACTACTGCTAATTAGCTTGGGGATATAATTGTGATTACCTCTATTTAGAAGCCACCCTTTTAGGGCTTAGTCAGTCCTGCTCAAACAGTAAAAATATTAATAGCCATTTAAAGCCAAAACTTTGGAAGAAGTAAGTCGGTTAGTAGATACTTGTTGAGTGCCCACCATATGCCAGGCAATGTGGAGTCTTTAAGGATACTAATTGGAAGGCCCTTATGAGCTATTGAAACTTAAATATATTGGTCGAGGGTGAATTAGCTGGAGATAAACACAAGATGTAAGGGTCCCTGGGTGGCACAAATGGTTTGCACTCTACTCCTAACCTAAAGGCTGGCAGTTTAAACCTGTCCAGTGGCACCAGGGAAGAAAGGCCTGGCGATCTGCTTCCATAAAGATTACAGCCAAGACAACCCTATGGAGCAGTTCTATTCTGTAACACATGGGATCACCATGAGTTGGAATTGACTCAACTAGTTACACACAAGATCTGGGTCTGCACTAATGGTGATAAATGTTACAAAATGGTTCTTTGCTTTTGGCCAAGCTCCAGTCTGCAAAAGAGGCAGTTTTCGCTACTCTAATCAGCAGGGTTAGGCTCACCTCAGTTGCAGTCACCTAATTCATGTACATCTCAGCAGCTTTATTGTTTTTGAAGCCAGATAACGCAAAGGTTAGACAATAGACAATTGAAAATTTTTTTCAAATTTACTTAATTGCCATTGTTTCTAAATGTATGTTTTCTTTTAACATGGACAATTTAAAAAGACTCGAAAAAGGTTTGCTTAAATGTTTCCTTTCCACATGATTCCTAAACGAAAGATGGCAATTTGAAAATCGATTTTACCTGTTTGCTGCAGATCTTTTAACTATGGATTTCTTCCTGTGAGGAAAAGATCTCTTCGATCTTTTTTCAAATGGACTTTTTGTTGGCTATTCCTTCTGTGGGCTAATTCTTTGACAGAGGACGTACGGCAAGTTATAAAAACATCTTTGAGGCAAAGATGAATGATTTTTGGGAACTAGGTACAAAGCTGAGTTTTTAAAGACCTAAAGTCTATACATTCTGACAAACAGAAGAAAATTCGTTTTAATTATGTTCTAATATAGGTAAGCCAGTATTGACTTCCATGCTATGAATTTGATCTTAATTTTTATAACTTATTTTTCTGATCAGATATTTTATTTAAAAAAAAAAAAGTTGCTACCTGCTAGCTATGCTAACCTTAGTAAATGGTTGGTGATCTGTGATTCTTTCTGAAAAATGACTGAGATTAATTACATAGTGCAGTCTTTCTGAGTCACCAAATATAGGATGTAGCTGTTTTTTTTTTTTTTGTAATAGAAGATGATTTATGTGTGTGTTCTTTGAACAGCTGAAGAAGTCACAGATCTGAAGAGGCAAGCAGTTGAAGAGATGATGGATAGAATTAAAAAAGGAGTTCATCTTAGACCAGTTAATCAGACCGGCAGACCGAAAGCAAAGGTGTGGAGTGGTTAAATGCCCCCCCCCCCTTTTTTTTTCTCTCTCCTCTTCCTCTGTCCTTGCTGTTTCTATTTTAAGTGTAAAAATTTGAAATTTGATGAAAGCTACATCAGGACTGATTGTCAAGAGTTACTTATTCCAGGTCATTTCAAGGAGAACATTTCATCTGTATCTAATCAGCTGTCAACTAAACTAGGCTGCAGCGAGCGCTCCAGGATCCGTGGTGGCTCCTAGAGTCTGTTCAGCCCTTCTTTCCCTTTCTATGCGTGCCCCATTTAAATAGACCCAATATTAGAGTTTTTGACATTTTTCTTGAAAAACGTTCTTTCTTTCCTCACTCTAATTCGGTATCCACAGGCTGGTGCTGTTTCTTCTCCTTCTGCATCTTCTCTCTCTCTCTTTTTTTAACCCAAACTTTTATGGCTCTTTTCTCTCTCAAGGCTGTCTGTCTTCTTCTTTAACTGCTTGAGTGGCCCCTAAGTATCATGCCTGCTCTCTGCAGATTCCTCTGGGCTTCTAAAGTTGCCACTGTGTCATAGGCAGGCAAGATGGCAGGAAGGCAGGCGTGGCCCTGGTGCGCGCCTGCACGGAGTAGGGGTTGGAAAGAGGGAAAGAATGCTTCTCAGCTGCAAGAGCAGATTCACATCTAGTGAAAAGGAAACTTTGGCCAACCGTGTAGAGTAGTTCTTGTGCCAACGATCTGAGAGCGGTTTTCTGAGTAAGGGCCTGAGTGTAAAACAGGAAGAGAAACTGAGTGTGTGGGACCAGTTGGCATAGCTGTTTCAGAGTTTCAGAGCTGGTGTCTGGTGGGCGAGTGGGGAACACTGATGCTGACGTTGGGGCCTTTGCAACATCGCCCAGGTGCCCCGCCCCCCCCGTCCCGGCTTTTTCTCCACAAAATGGACACAGCAGCCCTGACTTACTAGGTGATTGTCAGGATCAAATGGAAAAAAGGATGTGAAAGTACTTTAAAATGCAGCGAATAAACAGAACCTTTGAGAAGAGTACATTTTTATGACTCCCATGTCACAACTATTATGGAAAGAATAAGCAAAACCAGACTATTACTAGAGAAAAGTGCAGTCTCATAAAGAAACATGAAATTAGTTTAGGAAGAAAAAGTGTTGAAAAACTGGTAAATCGTAAGCAGTCAATGTTCCGGACTGGCTTTCATTTTCAGAATATCACTGTGTACTTTCTCTCTTCTCGTGACTCTTCCAACAGTTACACATTCTTTAATGTCAATTCCAAATCTGGAAAGCAGCTGAGCCAGGATCAGTGGACAGCTGGGTTATTCGCTGGTAGTCATTAAACTATGTAGATGTGGTGCTGAATGACCTGGTCAGTAACATCAAAAGCAAATGGTCACTGCATGCTCAAGTCCAGACTGCTTCCCCCGTTAGCATCAGCCCTTCTGAGATGGCAGACGTTAGGAGAGTATGCGGTCCATGCCTGAAAGGGCTTGTGCTTTCCGAGGGCGATTTCAGTGGCATGGCAGCACTTCTGAGAATGCCTTTCAGCAGGGCACTTGCTCCAAAGTCACAGCTTGTCACCTGCACCGTCTACCTGCAGAAGTCAAGGCTGCCTTGAAAATACTAATTTAATTGCATTTTTTCTAAATTCTTTGAAGTTGGTGGTGGTGCTGGGGTGGTTAAAATTAGCGTGCTAGAGCTTGTGACTGGCATCGAGAGCATGCGTGTTTCACAGAAAACCTGCGCTATGAAACTTTAATGCCTTAGTCTACTTTATACTTGAGCAGCAAACCTCTCCCTCTCTGTGTGTTTGTTTTTTAATTGAAATGAGATCTTACTCTTTTATTCTCTTTTGAGAGAGAAGGATTATAGGTTGCTGTTGATCACCTCTCATTTCTTGATGGGAGAGAAATAACCTGACTTCTATTTCAGGCATAAGGAGCTTGGGAAGTTCCCTTCACTATATCTTTCAGGATTAATCTTCATCTCTAGCCTTTGTGAAAGGAAGTGGTACGGGGGAGGTCAGAGGTCATCCTAGATCTTCTTTTTCATGAGGGTCTCATGCCAGCTTTTTCTTACATTAGTTGAGGGATCCACTGAGACTGTTAGGTATTGTGGGGCAGGCAGGCAAATATTACCCACAACTTCACTTCAGATTACTTTGTTCTGGGGCCATAAGAGAACTAACTGTCTTGTAGTCAAGACACCGGACTCAACTACTGCCTTCCTCAAGGCCTAACTTTCCTCGTAAGTAAGATGGAGTGGTTGGACCTTCTGAAGCCTTTTACTGTTCTGACAACAGGCGATGCTAACATTCTCCTGTAAGCAAGGTTCTTCACTAGTCCTGGCTCTGACTCCACCAGTGTGAAACTCCTGAAGCAAGATATGCCTGTCCTCTGTAAGCTGGCCATCGCCTGAAGCTGACGGAGCTAAGAGAAGTTTCCTGCTTGTCGCTCGCTTTCTGCTCTGCCTTCTTTCTGTCCCTAGCTTGCTGGCATCAGTCCAGCAATGCAGGTGGAGAAAAGTTTATTTTAAAACGTTGTGAATAATTTGGAGTTGAATCTTTAAAATCTAGCGTTTACCAAATCCTTTCTATCTACGATAACCAAGGGATAACAAAACGATATTTAGAAGGCAGTAGGCTGAGTCCTGTTGCTTTGAACATAACTGCTAATTTTCTGCTTAATTGTCACCAGGGAGCACTAACATGGCTAATATTTTTCCTAACCGGAAGACATAGACCTAATTAAAAAAATAAGTATAGTCATACCTATCACCAATATAGACTAACAGCACTTTGCCATGTAGCAATCTTCGTTTAATGTTTAGAATTGTATTATTCAGTAATTTTTTTTTTCTTTTTAAAATTGTAGCCAGAATCTGCCAAAGGCTCTGAAAGTGCAGTGAATGAACTAAAAGGAATACTGGTAAGAACACATCTCAGCTTACTGCTTAGCTAATAGGGAAATTAAGGGAAAATGTTTTATAATGTTTTTGTAAATGGTTGTTTTGGATATGTTTTATTTCCATTTACAGTGAGCCTCATTTCTTTGGACAGTTTACTTGATTGTATGGATGGACTTCTGCACTGCAGGTGTTAATAATGTATCAAATAACACTTGGTGCTTTCTACTCCAAGACTTAGCCATAACTGGTTTCAGATAGTGGCTACATGGTCACCAAAATCGTTGTTCCCCGTTCTTGCCTTTCAATCCTGGTGTAATAGCTTGAAGATAAAGTGTCTTACTACGTGTGAGGAACAGTACATGTTTATTCATGACAGAAATGGAGTGGAGCTCTGGAATGGATAGTGGTTTATTTTGGGGCATGAGAGTGGAGTTCTTGGCACCTAAAATGTAAATCTGAGCTCCTACCAAATATGTTAGTTTCAGGGACACAGTCTGCTTTTTCTCGCAGTTTAAAAAAATTCTGTGACGATAAACTATAGAGTAAAGTAAGAATCCTTCTCTTTATGTTACCAATTGCATTTCCTAGGGGTAATTCACACACATTGGAGAGCACACCGAGTGCCCATCTCTACTCATATTTCTGCTTTCCAAAGTGTGAGTTTTTGCCAGTGAAATAAATGGCTACCGCCTTCTCCAACAGTTGGATTCAGAGACAAACGCCTCACTTAGAAAATGTTTCAGATACTGAGAGCTCTGTTCTCTGATCCTGTTACAGTCCCAACACCAGTTATTATGCACAGTAAGTCAACAAACATGGAGGCAGAGGTAGAGGAATAAGTACGCCAGTGTTTGTCATTACTGTGCTAATTATGCGTTGCATGTAGACATCCACATAATTGTGGTAAACAAAATTATTTTTATCAAGCGTGTCTTTAAACAGTAGACTTAACTCAGAACGGCTTAATTAATTGGCTTTAGTTTTAGGTGGGTGGGATTAACACTGAAGAGAGGTGTATCACTGGCTAACAGTGGTGGTCTCCCTACAGAATAAAGTATTAAAGCCACTTAGAAAGTCATGTGGTTATTATCTGATGGGTTCCTTAATCAGAAGGTTTTGTTGTCCAGCATTGCATTAAGAACTCCCTATCCACAGTTCCTTCTGTTGTCTCCACATCATAATGATAATTCATGTTCAGGAGGATGCCCAGGGGTGCTGTGAAGTCCTGGATGTAGTTCTGGATCATCAGAGAAAGAGAAAATCATACAGAGTTTGAACTTTCTAAAACTTAGATTTATTTGAAAAATTGGATGTCCACATGAGATCCATATGTTAATATTTGATTACCCATTCCCATCCTATAATGCTGGATGCTAGTAAGCTTACTGAATTACAGCATTGCTCTTAAAGATCATAGTCACTGTAATTTTTGTCACTTTAAGGAGAGAAATCTGTGAAATAATTTACCAATTATGAATTTCGAGAAACAGCTTCCTTTTCTGTAAATTGCCCCCCTCCTCCTGGTCCTCGATCTATCATTAGAATACTGTACATTATCTGGCATTGATGCATTGTTCTGGAAATATTCTTTCTTTGGATTAATTTAAAAAAAATTCCAGCTCATGATCTCTCTCCTACTTTTCTTTGCTAAACGGCACATAGAAATTTCCCTTGAGGCAACACTGGTAACTTCCAGTCACCCAGGGCCAACAACACTTTACAAATTCTTGTAAGATAGAAAGGCATCCCCTGGTTTAGCCCACCCAGCAGATGGGGCTTTGTTGGTGCTTCTTGCTGGAGATCAGACTTAGGATTATCAAAGTTTGTACCCAATAAAGCACACAATACCAACCTCACAGTTGTGGCATGTGAGAAACAAACATGGCAGAAAGAATGTGAAAGGCCTACAGATTGTATACTGAGTGCCTATATGTTGAACCAAGTAATACCGTGTTTGGTTCTGCTATAGAACAGAAACCTGGAAAAAACTCATTGTGGGAGTGTTTGGTTGAAGCAGAATGTGGCTTGTGTTGTAAAGTACATCCACAACCTGGAGATTTGACCTACCTCTGAGAGTTAGCACGTGGATAGAAAACAAATCTCTGGGTTAGAGGGAGGTGGAAAACCTCACTCTACTTTGAGTTGTACAGTTTTCAAGCTAATTTTTAAAGTCTCAGTGTTGACGAAATTCATTCTTCCAAGCCTGTTCCCACTTTTAAACCTGTGTATTTTGTAAATAAAATATATGTAGTCTATTTGTCATAGTCACACAGGGTTTTGAGGTCTAGAAGACTGCTTGAGTCACCTCCGTCATTTAAAAGCCACTCTAAGTGAAAATGGTGATTTCTGAAGAACAAATAAGTACAAATTAATCTAAAATTCTCTTTCCAAATTCAGTTGACTCTAAATCAGAGACAAAAGCAGCTTTTATATTGTTGTAAAAATATACATAACATTTGCCAATTCAACATTTTTTTACATGTACAAGTTAGTGATATTAATTATATTAATCATGTTGTGCTACCATCACCCATAATCACTGCCAAAAGCAACCTTTAAAAAAAATTCTTGTATGGGTCTTTTTCAAACATCTTCAGTTTTTCAGAGTACTTAGAAATTATTGACTAATTTTTCCACTTGACAGATTAGTCATTATTATGAACATTTAACCGACATGGAAACTAAGATTGATAAATAATCACAGTGGTTTAAAGTAGAAAAGAGTACTGGTTTGGGCATGAGAAACTCTAAATTCCAGATCCAGCTCTATCATGAACTTGTGGGACGCAGCCCAGACTCTGAGGCTCACTGAGTTTGAGTTCTCTTATCTGTAGAGCAAAGGAATTGTATGTACCACATGGTTTCTAAGGCAATTTTTGATTCTTAAATTCTATGATTCTAATATAAATAGATAATTAAGATAATCTTGGTGCTTTGTTAGTTGGGGTTCTTGATCATTTCAGTTGAGAGTCATACAGAAAGCTTTCTTTCATAGTTCCCTCTACATTTAAAGTGTTCTCATATATTAACTGAATCAACCACTTCAGTCAGTAAGTGAAGAAAGAAGTTTGGGATTCAAGGATTAGAATGTGGTGGAAGGATTCCTTCAGTATCAGGTGTGATGAGAGGCAGCCCACCACAGTCAGGAATTTGGGGAAATGATGCTGTTATCCACATGAAAAATAGAGAATATTGTGAAAGATGAATTTAATAATTAAAGATATCCTTGGAAGTTATATGTGAGTGTATGTGTATACACACACACACACACACACACACACACACACCATTTCCTTGAATTTACTACAGCCATTGGGAAAATCACAAGAATGTCCTTGACATTCAAACAATCATTAGTTTTATGAGTTATTCTAATAGTAATGGCTGTAAAATTTTCAAGTATCTGTTAACAAATGATACGGATGGTACATTTTTAAAAATTATAAACACAAATGATTTGGGACTAGTTGTTCTAGTACATTTTTCGAATTTATCTGAAGTGGCTTTAGTTCTGTTTTCTCTACCTTGTCAGGGTCAATCATACCTTACTATATGACTATTCAGTGAGTGGATGCAGATCTGCATTGTTAATAATTAAATAACCCAAATCATGTCATTTTTCAATTGTGAAGTCAGCTGTTAGAGTGTTACATGTGATATGATGTTCCTGTGTATTTGTCTTAGGGATTTTTGCAATAAATGAAAAGCAAAAGAGAGGCGTTTCCAGGGGAAAAAGTATCATATGCTTGATTAAATATGAGACTTACCCACATATTTTACACATCAGTTTTGGTTAGGCAGCTGACAACAAAAGAATGCAATCTCCTAACCTTGGTAGCAGTTTCTCCCCTGACAACAGGTTCCTTTTCTATAATTTTACACAGTTGTGGGGGGACCTTTTCTAACCAGAATGACATAATAACCCGTATCATTTGAGATTCATAACCCCCTGATTCTCCAAGCAACTCTTTTTTGTTTTACTGGCTAAAGAAGAAACATGGGTTACCATCTGTAGGCAGTAGAATTCTTAGAACCCTTCAGGAGTTTGGCAGGAAGAAGACAAACCCTTAGTAACTTTAGAAATTACAAAGGCTGGCCTGGTTGTTAGCCTTGGACAAAAGCTGCCTTCTGAGTCTGGCATGAAGTCTGGCAAATTATACCATACTTGAGGTTCTCACTTGCTCTGATCAAAAGATTGTGGTTCTCCTAGTTTTTGTTTTTGTTTTTTTAAGCCTGTGGCACAGTTGAGGAGGACCATTTCAAAGAAATAGTAGGCCTTTATTTCTTAGGAAAGACAAATGGACCACTTGTGATGGTGTGGTGCCAGTCCTTACGTCTAACTGTGAAGAAGTACTTCACCCAGTGTTCTGTACAAACACCTATGTGGCTGGTAATGGAGATGGAAAACCATAGCTCTCCCTCCATAACAGACTTCCTAGGGTAGCAGAGCAGCGAGCCATCGCGACGGTCTTTCTCTGTCTTCTTAAAGCTGATATCTGTTTCATCAGGAGCACAGCTTTGTGGCATCTGTTGTTTTTTTTTCAGAATCTTCTGGGCCCTGGATACATTCACTGACTCCTCTGTTAAAAAAAAACTCACAACCCATTGCCGTCAAGTCAATTCTGACTCGTAGTGACCCTATAGAACAGAGTAGAACTGCCCCCATAGTGTTTCCAAGGCTGTAAACCTTTATGAAAGCAGACTGCCACATCTTTCTCCTATGGAGCGTTTGGTGGGTTCAGACCACCGACTTTTCGATTAGCAACCAAGCACCTAGCCACTGCGCCACCAGAGCTTATCTCCTCTGTTAAACCCGTTGCTGTCGAGTCGATTCCGACTCATAATGACCCTATAGGACAGAGTAAAACTGCCCCACAGGGTTTCCAGGGAGTGGCTGGTGGATCCAAACTGCCGACCTTTCGGTTAGCAGCTGAGCTCTTAACCACGGTGCCACCAGGGCTCCCCTCCTCTGTTAGGAAGGTGGAATTAAGAAGCCTGGCTCTTCCTTGCCTCCCTATATGACTATAACCTTTCCTCTTTCACACTGAAGTCAGTGTATGCTCAGTGAACCATTTCTTTGGGTGGGCCACTGGAGATCATTTTGTGCCTCCTCTGGCAGCCGTGACAGCACTGTTACCAGGTGTGTGGCCATGGTCACGCTGCCTGAAGAGTAAGCCCCACATTTTTCAGTGCCACAAGGATTTGGGTTCAGTAGCACATGGCGGCCGTTTCAAGATGTTCTTCTAAGGTGAGTTCCGTATGGCTATTCTCTTCTCCATGGGATCAGCACACATCAGAATCTTAATCATCAAGTACCTTCCCCCTACTGAATTTCATGTCATTAGTTCATCAAGAGATGTTCTTGTACTGTTCTTTGGATGTGAAAGCTAGAGTTTATACCATCAGTTGTAGCATCATCTTAAATGATCCAACACTAAGTGTTGCTGAAGATATGAACATTAATATATCAAATTAATTTTGTTCCTTAATTCTTAATTCCATTCAAATTCTGGTAATGTTTTGGTGATTTGATTTTTTTTTTATATTCTTTTGTATATTGTATTAAGACATTAACCTTTTTGTTTTTGTTTTGTTTTTGCTTTAGGGGACACTTAACAAATCCACTAGTTCAAGAAGCTTAAAATCCCTTGACACTGAAAACAGTGAAACTGAGTTAGAGAGGATTTTGCGTCGCAGAAAGGTGACAGCAGAAGCAGATAGCAGTAGTAAGCTGGTTTGAATTCTCCACAATCTTCCTCTTCTTCTCTGAAGCCTCTTCCTTTAAGTCCCTTTTTAACATGCAACAATCTTTTTTATTATGATTAAAATACCTTTTTTAATGTGAGTGAGAAGTATGGGATGGGCAGAGGTCCTCATGGATATCTCGTAAGAACTCCTAAGTATTTTAATTTATTGGTATGTTTGTTTACTTATTTATTTGTGGCTTTTATAGTGTGGTTTGTTTATTACAAGATGCTCTTATGTAAAGACGTTCAGCATGGGCTTTGGCAACAATACAGCATTGAGTACAGGCTCTGGAACCAGACAGCTTGAGTTTGAATCCTGGCTCTGCCATTTACCAGCTACTTCCCCTTCAGCAGATTACTCAACCTCTCTGTGCCTCAGTTTCTTCATCTATAAAGTAAGGCTAATAAAAGCATCTACCTCATAGGATTATTGTAAGGATTAAATAACTCAGTATGTGAAAGTATTTAGCCCTGTGCCTGGCACAAAGTAAGCACACAATGAATGGTAATGAATTATTAGTAGTAAAAGGAATAATTACACATCAGTTACAAATGCAGAGAAATCAGCTTTACTTTTCATATCCATTTACTTTATTGTCTCCAAATCTATTTCAGAACTAACCTTGTATGACTTCAGTTTTTGTTTTGTTTTACAGGCTTAGTCACAGAAATTAGCAGAAACCTTTATGATGTTTCTGGCCAGGTAGGAGGCTGACTTTGAAAAACTACCATAAAATTTAAATTAGACAGCAGCCATAGCTAATAGTATGAATCTTTTAGACTCAGTTCACACAAACTCTTCCCTTCATTGTTTAGTCAGCTGTAGTCAGTCCACCTTAACAGTCGAAATCTGCAAAATATTGACTCATGGATTTAGGTCTTTGATAATCAAGCTCTGGTTTCAAGTAGGGATTTCTTCATACAATTGAGTCAATATCCATGAATCAGTGGCAGCATAATACCAGCCAAACTCTTTTTTTACTAAAAGATGTAGCCTTCATTTTCTTCTTCAAATAATTCAGATACTTAGTTTTTAGTTTGTTAAAATCCTACAAGGATTTTCCCCTTTAGAAAAGTAGTCACATCTCAGGAAAATTAAGGGGTGCTGTATAGTCCCAGAGACTTTTTCTTAAGATTGCTTTGTAAGCATTTACTAACCCTCCATAATGACTCATTCATTTTGTTATTTAACCAGTGCTTGAGTTATCCTTTCCATCATTTCTTCCTTAAGGAGATGCCTACCCATGTAGGTGTCATTATTATTTAGGACTTTGTAGGTGCCATTTTAGTGCAATGTCATTTACATTTTGTATTTTGCCACTGACTTTTTTTTCCCCTTCAGAAACATTCATACTCGTGAACTTGTTCGAAAACTGCACCATTTACTGTTTCAGAGTTAGATTTCAGTGAGAAAAAGAAGAAAATACTTTCCTTGCAGAAATTTGAATATTTCAGAGAGTGGGTAAAAATAGGCGTACATTTATAGGCATGGTGAGGCTCTTTCATTTTATTTATTATATTCCACCAGTATACACATATTCAGTGTATCATTTGAGGGAAATTAGAATAAAAGTTATAAATTCAATAGAACATGAATAGAGAAATAACAACTGTAATTGATGGAGTGGAGGGGAAACATACTAAGAGGAATGACTTGTAATTGAGCAGAAATTTTCTTTTGAGCTTCCTAGGAGCCAAGGCAAAAGAAAAAAAAAGAAACAAACATTATCTAATAAAAGAAATACCATTATTTTAGGTGGTACAAATATTTCTTAGCATCAAACTTGAAGAGGTATTTACCACGTGAATCTTTTTATGAAGGTCACGGAATGACAAAGGGCAGTAGTGCGAATTCCTAGAAAACAAAGTAAGGAAGAAGCTGATGGGAGGCAAATTACAGAGAGAAAGAGTTTGGTAGGTTTGTGTCTCAGGTATACTTGAATCTCTGAGACTTTTCTTCTGCACACAAAGGCTTATGGGATAGCCGAAATGTGAGGTCACAAGCAAAGAAAGGAAGCATTTTAAGGGTAACAAAGGGAGGAGCCTGAGGTTTGCAGAACTCAGATCCCAGATTAGTGGGTTTCTCCTCCAGGGGCCCGGGAGCATCTTATCCTTAGAATTCTTCCTGTGGGCCTAACTGATATTCCCTTGTTATACCTAGCCTTATGGCCTACCAAACTGACATTTCAAAGAGTGACTGGCGCCTCTTGGAAAACATTGAGTGGCTTAAATAGGATACAGTAATAATAATAATCTTAAATATTGTATTTTTTTTCTTATTTCTTTTTGTATGTAAGAAAAGTAAGAACTCTGGCTCAGCTCACCCACTCTCCCTCCTTTTCACTGTGGCCTCAGTCTCGGAACAAGCAGCAGGCATTGGTGTATTCAGAAACAAATCTTGTTCCCGACAAGGACAGGTCGTTTAAAGGTGTCTAGTGTGGTGGTCAGCAATTACTCCAGGGCAAAACAGAACTGATCTGAAGCAAATCTTGAACTCAGCTTCATGTTTATATTTTCAGGAACTTTCTTTCTTGATCTTTCTGCCCTTTTCTCTTTACTCCCACATCCCCATGCAGCCTGGGGCTTAGCATAGCTGGGAGGGAAAGGCCTTTTAAACCAGAATATTCGATAATAATTGCAAACTTGTCTGCCTGGATGGTATAGATGAAATGAATAATGAGGAAGACAGACAATAATGCTTTATGGGCTGGGGCTTTCCACTAGACCACAGGGGATCTGTATTTTCCAGTGGAGTCAGGCTGAAGGTGGTGTCCAACAGAATAGTGGAGTAATTTCCCAGCCCCTCATAGGTAGGTTTTTCAAATTAGAACTTCATTTTGGAGTGGACATGTTATGCTGTTATAGTATATCAACATATTCATATTTAAATGTAAGAATAAAATTCCATTGCTTAATATTAATGATCAGGGATTAACTAACATTTTGGACTGTACCTATCAGAACTTTCCATCTGGGAAGATAATCTGACATTTCCTAAGGGTAAAGCAATCCCCAGATATTGCCCTCTTCTTAGTGGTACCTTTCAAAATTGTCTTCTAGCTTCATTTTTAAGAAGTTCCCATTTTATTTGCACATCTATGACTTATTTCATAAATCTCTTTGTTTTAAAAAGGTTCCTACTGAAGTTCTAAGAAAGACATACTAGGATCTTGCTTTTGAGAAAAACTGCTCAGGAGAGACTCTTTCTATATAATGATAGGAAAAAAAAAAAGTCATGATGGTTCTTAGCTTCAGTGCCCAGAATTTTTATATTGGTATGCCAATAATTTCAGTAACAAGCCCATTTATGGTTTTTTTTAATCCAAAAAGAGCAGAAAAATCCAAAAGGTAAACAGCCAAACTCTTTGCCACTTAATTTGTATAATCCTATATCTGCTTTTTAAGAGGAAATAAATCCGCTTACTTCTCATTCACATTAAAATGAAAATGTTCATAAAAGCTGTTGAATGCTCAAGAAACCTTCCTGAGCCTTTTAAGAGAGGCTTTTGACTTCTTTCTGTTTTCTGTTGAAAATGAGGAGCTGAGTTTTGGGAAGAATTAACTCTTGAGAGGCCATATGGTTCAAGTAGGGTGTCAGAAAGCCATACTCTGTGAGAAGAAAAGAGTTTTCACAGTTCCAGTTTTACTAAGGACCCCAGTAGGTGACAGAACCACGGCCCAGGATTTTGTGGTTTTCTTAAAGGTCTATACACAATTCTTCAGCGTGGTCACAGTGCACTGAAAAGCAGTAGTACCCCCGAAGCAGAGCAGATGTCCAATAGGAACATTTTTCAGCATGCTCTTGAAATTTTAACAAACTTGGCCTTTTCACTTCCTGAGGGATTTTTCAGCTAATCTGTTTTTCAGTACCCTATTAATAAGCATCACACGGAATTATTAAACTTGAGGTATGTGTTTGGTTTTAAGGTCCAACCGGGATATTAGCCACCTCAGAGTCCAAATCCATGCCGGTGTTGGGTTCTGTATCCAGTGTAACAAAAACAGCCTTGAACAAGAAAACTCTGGAGGCAGAATTCAACAGCCCGTCCCCCCCAACACCTGAGCCAGGTGAAGGGCCCCGTAAATTGGAAGGATGCACAAGTTCCAAGGTTACGTTTCAGTAAGTAACGACGCCTCTTTATTAAGTAGTGTGTAGAAGAATCTGTGATGACTAACTTGTGTGTTACTTTGGTTTGTTTCTCTTTGGAGAGGGATTGGTTTGGTCAGCCAGTAAATACTCTCCTTCCTTCAACTGATGAGCCAACTTTTGATTCTAGGCCCCTAGCCTAGAGATCTCATTCACATTCAAAGCAGACACCATGTATAAAGAGAATTCCTTCCCCCAAACTGCTTTGGTAATTAGGTTCTTTTTCTACACAAAGAATTGGCCATATTTATTTTGCATCAGAAGACACTTAATCATTCTTTCAAGATCAAATGTTTAGATCATCCCTCTTAATGGTTCATGAGCACCCCAAGATGATACTAGATCTTTCAGAGGCCACTTTGAAGGGTACGTTTTTACAACCTCATTTTCTGGTCCTCAGTTAAAAATGTGCGTTCATATTGCTTGATCCTGAGGAAGAAAGCATGTTACTGTGTGGACTTACCTGTATAGACTTGAATCTTTACAGCGGCACTTTGATTGCCAAAGAGTTATTCCTGCTCCTCACTGTGTTTTAGACAGATCTGCTGGAGGATCAATTTGTTTTATAACAATGGCAAGCAGGCTCTTTTTGAAATTAGTCTTACTGCTTTGCTTTAGTTCCCTTGCCAGGATGTCAACTGGTTTGTCACTTGAAGAAAAGGAAGAGGTGAGACAAATCAGATCAGCCGAATATTGTAATCATCGTTAATTAAACCTCTGATTTCCTGTTCTATCAGGAGAGAAAGAACCCCTTTTTTTGTAGCTCTTGCTTTCTAAGCAGAAAGGGTGAAACCTGGACAAACGAAGTTGAAATTAAATTTGGATCTATTTTTGCCAACTGGTACTTTTTCCCACTCTTATATTTCTCTCATTGGTACTATTAAGGTTTTTTCTTTTTTCTTTTTTTTTTTTTCTCTCTGCGAATGAATGGCCTTCTTTGCTGACTTACAGTTTTATCTAATTTCATTGTGTTTAAAAGCACATTCTCTCCTGCGGTCATGTGTTTCCTTTCTTTTGACTGGAGCCATTTGAACAGTTCTAACAGAAAGATGATCTATATTCATTCTTCATCTTTCCTATTAAATTTGTTTAACACCTAATTTGACATCAGCAGTCTGGCTGCATTTGAACCAATATCCAGACACAAAAGCAATTTGACTGAGACAAGTTTGATTCTGAGAAATGCTTCAGTATGTGTGTATAGATTTTTTTTCCCTTTACCATTTTACACCGATAATCTTAATCAGAAAATACTGCAACTCCTTCCTCCTTTTGTCTGCCTTTTATTCTCCAAAAGTAAGTGGAAATTACATTTCCAAGAAAGGAAATGAAATAATTGCAGGCCCAAGGTCTGCAAAATGTGTGTTGAATTGACAGTGAAAAGGATCTGTGTGTTGACAGACACAGTTGTTAGATGCCATATAGGCCTATGTGAAGCTCAATTTATTTCTCATCTTGCTTGTTCAATGACTGCTTAAGAGACACATTTCAATTTAATTTATCTACTTAAAGCACTAATACAAATACTGTGTGCTGCTGTATTAACTTTTAAACTTTGCAACCTAATGCATGATTATTCAGTTCTTGACATTCTTTAGCTGGAATAACTAATGCCATGTATTTCATATTGACAGTCATTTAGCAAATAAGAGTCCCTTTTTGCAAAATCTGTTTCTTAAGTACAATTAGACTATCCAAATGAATCTGAGAATTTTGTATGTGTGCATGGTAATTATTCACTTCCCAGATAGGCAGACTTCATTCATTTATGTTTAAACAGCCTTTGAATGACTAAAGGAAGTTTTAATGTAGTTATAGGAACGCTTTAAAAGTAAAAACTCATGTTATTTAAAAACTCATTTATCAGGACCCCCTGAAGCTGGCCTAGCTGCTAGGAGTGACAAGGGTTATTTTCAAGGCTGTTTCTGACTGGTCTTGACTAATCGGTCCACAGAGAAGGTGAAGACAGCAACATTGTCTTACCTTGTAGACCTGAATTGTCAGTGCACTTTGACATCAGGTCAGCAGTTAAAAAGTGAAATGTTTCCTTTGCTGTTTAAAACTGTCCATGCACTCTAGTTGTTGCCCCTTTATTTTGACCTGTGGTGACACCGTCAGAGGCTTTCAGGTGAGCATCGCTGTCAGCTCTCGTTGGGAAGGAGTCAAGTCGGGGAGGACTCCAGTCACAGCAGCCTCTAATACGTGTGCTGTTGCCCTGACACACACACATACACACACACACAGTCACAACAGCCTCTAATATGTACGCTATTGCCCTGACACACACACACCAGTTACAACAGCCTCTAATACATATGCTGTTGCCCTGACACACACACACACACACACACACACAACAGTCACAACAGCCTCTAATATGTACGCTATTGCCCTGACACACACGCACACATACACACAACAGTCACAACAGCCTCTAATACATATGCTGTTGCCCTCACACACACACACACACACACACAACAGTTACAACAGCCTCTAATACGTACACTATTGCCCTGACACACACACACACACCAGTCACAGCAGCCTCTAATACATACGCTATTTTCCTGACACATACACACATACACACCAGTCACAGCAGCCTCTAATACGTACGCTGTTGCCCTGACACAGACCAGTCACAGCAGCCTCTAATACGTACGCTATTGCCCTGACACAGACCAGTCACAGCAGCCTCTAATACGTACGCTATTTTCCTGACACACACACACACACACACACACACCAGTCACAGCAGCCTCTAATACGTACGCTATTGCCCTGACACACACACACACACACACACACACACACACACCAGTCACAGCAGCCTCTAATACATATGCTATTGCCCTGACACACACACACACACACATACATACAACAGTCACTGATACATACACTATTGCTCTGACACACACACACACCAGTCACAACAGCCTCTAATACATACACTGTTGCACACACACACACACACACACACACACACACACACACACAGAGCTCCTACCACTCTGACTTCCCTCCCCCACCCCACCTTGGCCTCTTTGGCCAGGTACCTTTCCACTATAGGCCTTTGCTTTCCCTGTTTCCTCTGCCTAATACGCTCTGCCCCCCACCCCCCGCCCCCATAGCTTCATGGCTTCCTCCCTCACCTCCATCGATTCTTTGCTCAGATGTCATCTCAATGAGGCCTATCCTGACCGCTGTTTTTAAAATTGGCAAGCATCCCTTCCCTAAACTGTACTCCATTTTCCCCACAGCAGCTGTCATCTTCCAGCGCACTGCAGACTTTCTTTATTATATCTGTTGGTCATCATCTGCCTCCCCCTGCTAGGTGAAAGCCCAGTGTGGGGAAGGGTTTGTCTTGTTCACTGGTGTATCTCAAACACCTGGAACAATGCTTGGCATATGGTAGGCTCTCATTAAATACTTGCTGAATGAACGAACACATTTTTAGTATCAATACAACAGTCGAACCTTAATCAGAATATTCAGTTAACCGACATTCCCCCCTTAATTCAACAGTCATACATACACTTCTAGATATTAGAAGTTTTTGTTTGTTAGTTGTTTGATTTGCTTATTTGTTTTTTAAACAATATTTTTAGGTGCTCAGGAGTCATTTACATTCAGCTCAATCTTTCATCTGCATCTTTGTACCTACACAAGATACAGTTATCAGAGACAACAGAATACTCAGCTGTGAAAAAAACATTCAGCTATGCTCACTTGGTTGGCCTCAGATGGACAGGAAAGTTTGCTAACCTACTAAAAAAGATTTTACATGAAAGGGTAGAAGGAAAGATGTCTGCATAAGATCTTCACTAACACCAAGCTAGCCCTGGAAAGTTTTTTTTTTTTTTTTGTCTTTTAATTCCTAAAATCAACATATGTGTGTTGTCCAAATAATTACAGAAACTCCTGTCTGGCAAGTTATAGAGTCAGAGATTTACCGATTTATTTCCTAGGGACCTTTGAGAAGGCAGGAACGCTGAGGTGCTTTTAATAACTTAATTGCAAGATGTAATTAAAGTTAGCCTTCTTGTCACCAGCCTAAACAAAGCCAGGTGTTTATTTAAGAAAAAAGAAGAAAAAGAAAAGATAATCAGAGCTTGAGGAAGCCTAATTGTTTCTATTTCTATTTTAATAATAGCTTTAATACTTTGCATCCTGTTATTTATTATTAACAAATATACACTACTTAGTCATAATATGTTAACTCTGACAGTGAATTTGAATTTCATTAATTCTGATTGGTTATAATTCAGACAGGCATGATGCTGGGAATCTTCCTTTATGCTATTAGGGATAAAGAGCTGGCCAAGCAAATGAACAGTGTAAACCCGATTTTTGCTTTCATGCTCTTTCCTGTTGATCTAGATTCATCTGACAGTGTTCAAATATGGTACAACTCGTTGATTCAAGCTAATCAATGGGTAGTGTGGTTGAAATAAAATAGAGAAAAATCACAGAAATTTTAGAACCTTCTATTTTATTACTTTCAGACAGCTACAGTACCTGGAAATAGGTACACCAAGTGCTGCACAGGGTCAGAAAGACAAGAACGGTTTGTATTTTCATCAGTAAGAACGTACAGACGGGAATGGGGAGTAACAAGGAAACACAGTGTGAACAGTGTCCTAAACTGGCGCCTTTCCATGTAGACACAGAGTGGCTAGCATCATCCCGTTATTTCCAGAACTGGCCTGCAGTCAGACAGACTAAGTTCAGATCTTGGATCTACCACTTAACTATCCTTGTGGCCTTGGGCAAGTTATTTAATCTAGGAGTCTTTTTCCTCATGTGTAAAATGATGGTCGTCATGTAAAATTAGATAACGTATGAAAAGTATTTCAATAAATTCCTCTCCTACGTTAAAATTATCATGCTGGGACATTACTGGATAAGCAAGGACAAAAGTCAGGGTTGAAAGTTAAGATACAGGACACCTGAAATGTTGAATAGGC